GGAATGTAGATATTAAATAGCATGGGGAACAAAACCAACCCTGGAGACCTTCATGCTACAGACCAAGCAGTATTCCCCAAGCACCACATTCTGGAACCGGCCATCCAAGCAGAAGCAGTACCACCCACTCCCAACTCATGCAGTTGATTTAGGAGGATACCATCATTGGTGCTTTCAAAAGTCACAAAGAGAACCAGGAGGATCATAGAATAGTCGAGTTGGAAGGGGCCATGAAGGCCATCAGGTCCAACCCCCTGCTGTTGCAGGACACAAAGTAACACCATCCCAATCAGATGGCTATCCAGTTACTTTTTGAATATCTCTAGTGTGGGAGAGCCTACCACATCTCTAGGCAACTGGTTTCACAGTCATATTGATATTGACCTTCCTCTTTGTGAAAGTCTTTGAGCTACTTTTAGAGGGATATCATGTCCCCCCTCAGTCTTCTCAAGGCTGAACATGCCCAGTTCTCTCTGTCTCTCATCATAGGGCAGTGTTTCCAAACCCTGGATCATTTTTGTTGCTCTCCTCTGGACCCTTTCTAATTTTCCTGCATCTTTCTTAAATCTTGGTGCCAGAACAGGACACAGTATTCCAGATGAGGTCTGACTAGTGAGGACTATAGAGGACCTGCTGCTTCTTGTGATTTGGAAGTAATATTTCTGTTAATGCATCCTAAAATAGCATTAATGTTTTGGTGGCTGCATCACATTGTTGGCTCATGTTTAGCCTATTGGCACTTTGTTTATCATTTTTCTGAGTTTGTTAAAGTTGGCTTTCTTCAAGTCCAGGATGCTTGTTGGGCTCCAGTTACCCTTTCTCTCCTTCATAATTGAGAATTCAAGTATCACATGCTCACTTTCCCCCAGAGTTCCCATGGCTGTTATTTTGTCCACCAGGCCATCCCTGTTAGTTAGTATTAAATCAAGGATAGCTGATCCTCTCGTACCTTCCTCTATTTTCTGCTGGAGAAAGTTGTTGGCAACACATGTCAGGAATCTCTTGGAGGGACCATGCTTGGCAGAATTTGTCTCCCAGCATATACTGGGGAAATAGAAGTCTCCCATGATGGCTATATCATTCTTCTTGGAAATCCTTGCAAGTTGCTTTTCGAAGGTTGCACCCTCTAAGTTTGTGCCATTGTTCCTCCTGCATGACCCTCCACTAAGTTCCCCATCTTGTATTTCTGTGCAGATAATGTGGCTCTTAGGTATAGTGAAACTACACCTCCCCTTTTGTCCTTTCGATTTTTCTTGAACAGGTTCTATACATCAGTTGTAGAGTTCCAGTCCTGTGAGTCATCCCACCAAATCTCCGTTACTCCTATAAGATTGTAATTGCCCTCATGTACTATGAGCTCAAGTTTGTGTTGTTTCCTTCCCATACTCTGGGCACTGGTATAGAGATATCCAAGTTCATTCTGGCTATGCCCTGATTTTCTTCCTAGGTGGTTTGGCAGACTGGTGCTGGGCCCTACTTGAGGTCTTTCTCTGTTGAAGTATATTATGTCTTTGCCAGGTGATGGTATGCCATGCTGCACATGTCCTTCCCTATAGCTTCTAGTTTAAAGCTTTCCTGATTAAGTTTTTCATGTAGTGGCCAAACATCTGCTTCCTGTTCTTGTGAGGTACAGCCCGTCATTTGCCAATTGCTTAGCTTGTGGTCCCAGAATCCAAATCTCTCTTTACAGCTCCACCATTGTAGTCAGTCATTCACTTGAAGAATTTTTCTTTCCCTAACAGTTCCTCTTCCATGTACTGGTAGGATTGAGTAAAAGACTATATGAGCCCCAGTGTTTTGGATTTTCCACCCTAGAGCTTCGAAGTCTGATTTTGAGTGAAGCTTCTCATGGCACTGTTGTTCATTCCCACATGGAAGAGAAGGAAGGGGTATTTGTCAGTGGATTCTAGGAGCTGTGTAAACTTGTTGGTTGTATCTTTAACCTTGGCACCAGGGAGGCAGCATACTTGGTGATTCTCTGGGTCACTGTGACATACATATTTTTCCATCTTGTGCAACATGGAATCTCCCACAACAATCACTCTTCTCCTTTTGGTGTAGCCAACTTTGGTATCCTTTTCCTTGCTTGATTGGCTTTTTGTCTCTTTTTAAGAGTTACACAGTATGTCATGTACTTCTTTCACAGTGGGTTTCTCACATGTCCCTTCTTCAAGTAACTTGAAGCGGTTCGAGACTTCCACTGCTTCCACTGGTGCACAGTGTTTTCTTGGTCTTTTGCGTCTGTCGCCCTGTTCCAGAGAGTTTCCTCACCTTCCCTTCCCTCGGGGTTCTCTTCTGCTGCCTCAGCTTGCTGATGCTCTTCTTGCTTCTGGGCTACACTTAGCTGTTGCAGCTCCTCTGCTCTGTCTAAAAACCCTTCATTTTCTTTTATTATCCGGAGGATGGACACTCACTGCTCCAGTGCTCTCACCTTTTCTTGTATCAGAGCTACTAGTATGCAGCTGTTGCCGTTTTTGCAGGCCACCACCACTGTGGAGTCTCCTTGGTCCATTGTTTGTGCAACCTTAGTGATTCTGTCCTTGGGTGGTCTGTTGTGACAACTGGTGCTTTTGAATGTATTCACTAAAGGTTAGCTTCACTTCCTAGGAGCCTGGCTGCTTGTATCCCAGAGTCCCTGGACGAATTGGGGCAGCTTGCTCTGCTCTGCTCGGAGTCAGGAACCAGAATGAATCACCCCACCCACACAACTGCTGCTAGCTGATCAGGCCACTCCCCTTCAGTTAGTCAGCCATCAGCAACCAGCTAATCTGGAACCTCCTTTCAATTGTCTCTTGGAAAAACAAAAGACTATTGGCTCTGCCAGTGCAGGCCTGTCTCTGCTTTGCCTTTGCCTTTGTCTGCCCCCTCTTCTACTACAACTCCTCCTCTGCCAAACTGTCTGCTCTCCCTGTTTGCTTGCTCTGGCTGCAGAATGGGTTCATCAACAGGGTTAAACTCTTTCTTCTGACATATTTCACCAGACAGGTCAATCAAGGTTATCTCTGTGCCAAACTCTGGCCTGAATCCTAACTGAAATGAATCTAGATAATTAGCCTCATCCAAGAATGCCTGGAGCCGGCTGGCTACTACCAACCTAAAGTTGTTAAGACCTTTTAGGTACAGAGAGGGTTTCTTCAGTGGAGGTTTCACCACTGCTTTTTTTAGGCAGCATGGAACCACCCACTTTCTCAAGGACACACTTATCACTTCCCTGGCCCAGCCAGCAGCGTTATGGATCCACTATGGATGTGGTTGAACAAACCTAGCTATCAACTGTACATGAAAAAGAATACTGTATCTTCCTAATGCATAACCATGATGAACTTTAGCAAAGTAAGACTAGACTTGTGTGCTGTTTGCTGTGACCCGCTAGGATAATGTAACACTAGCCCTGGCAGCCAAAACACAAAGATAGCTAGGAACAATGTTTTGCCATCACTGTCACTCCTCAGCGCTTCCTTTTTATTCATGTTAGCATTCCCTAGATGAGAAGTCAGAGAACTTCCCTTACTTGTGACTTCTCCTTCAACTTTTTGGACCAGAGACCAGGAATGTTCTGTTCTTTCCACAAGAAGATAGAACCTTAACATTAAGAAAGTCTTGCCCTGTGAACTATGCCCTATGAAGAAAGTCTTGTACTATGAAGCACCTCCCACTTCCTTTCTAAAGCTAAGCCTTTGCTGCTAAGCAATAGCCCTCACTCCTGTCATGAGCCAAATCCCTAAGACCTTAGGGACCCTGCAGTTAGCCACTCCTTCCCAGCCCTGCTCCATGCTGGGAGGAGGCATGGAAAGGGAAAAATGGGGTTGAGCATGATGTCAGTGGTACGGCCATACATCCTGACATGACACAAGAAAGTTACATAACTCTGAAATCATATTAAGCTATCCCTTTTGAAGCATGCTTAAGCCAGGCTGCTTTAGCCCTTGGACTAGCAAGTCTAATCCTAGTTATGAGGTTAACTTGCTTATTATCAATCTATTGTGCTGATGATTTTGCACTTCATTAAGTATTGTCTAGATTATTTCACTGTAATATTGAATTAATCCTATATTATTGATCATTTTATCTAATTTGAATTTACTGATGTTTTAAAACAAATTGCTCTAGCTAATGTAAGGTATTTTAATATTTTCATATACTTCTTTTCCATAATATGCCCACAGCAGCTCACAATAAGCAAACTAAACTTAGAAATCCCTATTAAAATGTAAAAATATTGTGGCTCATTGAACCGAAATATACACGAGCCTTGAGCACTATGTCTTGCACAATATATTTATTCATTCCCTTTTGGTACATGCTGATTGAATACTTCCTGAGTTCATTAATCATAGCTTTCCATTGCATCCAAACTGATAAAATATGCTTACCATTTAGAAGAAACCAGGATCTGAACCCAATTTCAAACCATGGTTTCAGATCCTGGTATGTTCTGATCTTCTCTAGTCTGGATATAAGAGGAAAGTATAGTTAATTAATCAAGAAAGTCTTCAATCACAGCATGATGAAAATGCAGCTCATGTATACTTCAGATTAATAAGCTGAGATATGTTATGTTCACACAAGGCCTTGCAGTTAAACCAAACCGAGTTTTACAAGCACTTAAATCAAAACCCCAGCAATACATATGAAAATGCCTGAGGTAGGTCCTAGTGTGAAATTAAGCAGGAACAATCCTGCTCAATACTTTGAAAGATGATTGCTTGGGAATCCCAAATATATAATTTTGCCCCTTGAGGAAAAGGCAAGATACAAAAGGACTAGCAGGCTTTAAAGCCTGGAATTAATCATAATGTAACTCCAATTTTAGTGTTTTTTAAAATTGTTTTTACTGTTATTGTAGCTGAAGTGTTTTTAAAAGTATAATTAAGCTGTTATTTTAATATTGCTATATGTAAGCCACTTAGGGATCTTATTTAAAGTTGTATATAAATATTAATAAATAAGCAAACTTTAATAATTAAAACTGTATCTTTTAAAATTGTAAGAAAAATAACCTCAGTTTTGCTGAAGTCTGCAACAAGGCATGTTGGGTTAATCAACTGCTTCCCCAGCTGTTCCTAGAAAGGAAAAAAAATACTTTTATTTGTATAAACTTTCTGAGAAATAGAATTATAGAACAGAATATACAAATAAGCTGCATTAGCACCTTCCAATCACTTTAACAGGGTACAATGGCAGACAGAACTGAAAACAGGGAATCTGTCCCCTGAGGAAGTACCAGAACCACAATGGATCCCTTGGGGCAAATAAAACAATTCCAGCGGAAAATAGCAAAACCTACTATAGATACAATCCTTACTGCAAAGAAGAGAGCCATCACAAAGAATACACTCTTATACTTTCCACGACTCAGTTCATAGGGTGCCATTAACTGCTGCAGAACACAATCAAGCATTATACTTGAAGTCAATGCTGCAGGGGTTCAGAACAAATGCTGCCCCTAACACAGGGTGGCTCAAACTCTGTTGACAGAGATCCCATGGACATTCCCAAATTGTTCTGCAACACTCTTTGATTATTTCATTCCTCCCTCCCTCACCACCAATTTGCCTAATAAGGGGCGCTTCTTAATGCATAGATAAGAATATATGTAAGAACAGTTTGTCTTCTAACTTCATCTCATTAGAAGTATAAATAAAAATTCCACAATATGCTTTTCTTCAAGTTAAATATCTCCACCATAAAATGTGTTCTTCTCCTATCTGCTTTGTTAAATAACCTGGAAGAGCACTTCTCATCCACTGCTGATCTATCTGCAATATGCCATGATCCAAATTAGAACACTTAAAATACGGCACTTGATGGCACCTAATATGAGGCTGAGCCTTGCCCCTGGTGCAAGCTGGTGACCCTCCCAGAGGAGGGGGTAGCTTGTATGAGAGACAACAGAACTCTCCAGGCCACCCCAGAGCAGACCTGCTCCAGGCAGAAGGTTGAGGGAGGGGCCAAGGGAGAAACAGCCAGGAGACATGGAGGAATGTCACCCACAGGAGGAGGCGGCCATGCTGCCTCCACCATCACATGGCACCGACCTGGAGCTGGGAAACAGGTTTTCTCTGCTTGGAGGCTGGGGCTGAGGACTTGGGGGACCGACCTGCCCAGGATGCCCAGCCTGGGACCAGGTGAGGCCAGGGGGGTGCTGAAAGAGAAGCAAGGGTTCAGGCACGGTTGTCTACTGCCACCAGGAAGAGATACCAATGGGTGATCATTGTTGGGGACTTCCTGCTAAGGGGGACTGAGGCAGCAATATGCCACCCTGACCTTGAAGCGAGGGAGGTCTCTTGCCTGCCAGGCGCAGGTATCCGGCATGTGACAGAGTAGAGTGTCTTCTTCCCTCCAGGGGTCACCAATCACTTCTGGTGATCCACGTGAGGACAAGCAACACAGCCAGGCAGGGTGGGTGGGATCACCAGGGACTTTGAAACTCTGGGAAAGAAACTCAGGGACCTAAAAGTCCAAGTGGCCTTTTTCTCTTACTGGTCCGGGGATTTGGGCCAGCCAGGGAAAGGAGGTTTGCAGAGGCGAATGACTGGCTCAGGATGTGGTGCCAGAAGGAACACTTCAGGCTCCTCAACCACAGTACCTGGTCTCTTGCCAATATACTTCTGGCAAGGGTGGGGTGCACCTCACGAGGATGGGGGAAAGATCCTTCAGGAATGCTTTAGCAAGCTTCATCCAGAAGACTTTAAACTCAGCCGGGGGGTGGGGGGGTTCAGTCCCCCAGAAACTTGTCCACACTGGACAAGTGAGGGGGGAGGATCATGGTTTTGCAACCAAGGTGTTAGAGATACTACAGCTGCTGGCAGGATTTCTTTGAAAAGGATATTGATACCAAGGAAGATGGGAGGAAGGAGAAGGCCTGAAATCCCAAAGAAAAGGATCTGTGGAAAGGAGCTGACATGCACGTACACCAGTGCTAGGAGCATGGGTAATAAGCAGGAAGAGCTTGATACTCTCCTGGGAATAGGAGGATATGGCCTGTTGAGGATCATGGAAACTTGGTGGGATGAAAGGCAAGACTGGAATGTAAAGGGGTATCACCTTTTTAGGAAGGACAGGAAGGGAAAGAGAGGTGGGGGCGTGGCTTTATACATCAGGGAAGGGATAGAATGCGGTGAGATAGAATGCATCACAGATGGGGATTTAGCATAGGCAGTCTGGGTGAAACTAAGGGGTTTTGACACAGAGAGGGACCTGACAGTGGGGGTACGTTATTGTCCTCCGGGTCAACTTGAGACCCTGGACGGTGTCCTAAAAAATAAAATTGGAAAGATATCTTGGAGGGGGGGCACAGTAATTATGGGAGATTTCAATCTCCCAGATTTTAGTTGAGAGACTCACTCAGAGGTGACAGCCAGGTCATGTTGCTTCCTTAAACGCTATAGAGGGAGGGTTCTTCACGCAAAGGTCCGAGAGGCAATGGGGGGGGGGGTGATATCCTTGACTTGGTCTTGACCAACAGGGAGGAGCTGATAGATAGGGTACAGATTAGGCAGCTCTGGATGCAAGTGATCACTCCATCCTTTGCTTTCAGTTCAGAGAAATGGCGATGTGCAGCAGGTCGAGTACTAGAACCTAGGACTTCAAGAGGGCCAATTTTGGCCAGCTGAAGTCCAGATTGGGAAAAGTCTCCTGGGGGAGGTTACTGGAAGGCAAGGGAGTTCAGTAGGAGTGGATGGCACTAAAAAAGGAAGTCTTGGAGGCACAAGCCTTGATGATACAGCTAGCTAGTAAGGCGGGGAGGTGAAGGAGAGTGCCGCCATGGATGTGAAAGTAGGTGGTAAGAGGGACTAGATATAAGAGGAACCTCAGTAGGAAATGGGTACTGGGGCAAGTAGTCAAAAGAGTATTCCAGGAGGAGGAGGCTTGTTGCAGGATTCTTCGCAAGGCTAAGGTTGATTATGAGCTGAGACTTGCAAAGAAAATCAGGAGCAACAAAAACGGCTATTATCAACATGTAAATAGCAAGAGGAAGGAGAAACAGGTGGTGACACCACTTAAAAAGAAGGAAGGGGATTTGGTGACTGATGTGAGGGAACAGGTACAGATGCTAAATGATTTTTTCGTCTCTGTGTTCTCCCCAAAGCAGAATGGGGGAGATCTACATGGGGGATCAAATGAGGCACATTAGGGACACAGATTAGAGTCACCCCCCTAGAAGTTGAAGCGGTCCTCAGGGCACTGGATGTTACAAAGGCACTGGAACCTGACAGGTTACACCCAAGAGTACTTCACAAGTTGGGGGGGTGAGTCCTCTTGCACCAGCTGGCCTCCATTTTTGAGGCCTCGTGGAGAACCGAAGTTCCAAAGGACTGGAGGGTGGCGTCAGTGGACCCAATTTTCAAAAAGGGTAGTAGAGGGGACATGGGGAATTACAGACCGGTTAGCCTTATGCCCATTGTAGGAAAGACAATGGAAAGGCTCACAATAGCAAGAGATCTAATAACCCTAGATAGGGAAGGGTTGTTGGCGGCCGTACAACACAGCTTCCACAAAAACAGGCCAGACAAACCATGTCATAGAATTCCACAAGGTTTCAAGGTGGCTAGACAGAGGGGATGCAGTAGATGTGGTTTATCTGGATTTCAGCAAGGCCTTTGACAAAGTGCTGCATGATATCCTGGTTGAGGAATTGAGGAGTTTTGGGATAGACCATGCACTGTCTGATGGATTAGGGCATGGCTGACTGACCGAAAGCAGAGGGTAACCATTAGTGGGGAATCATCAGGATGACGCCCAGTGACAAGCGGGTTCTCCCAGGGCTCTCTCCTGGGACCAATCCTGTTCAATCTTTTCATCAATGACATGGAAAAGGGGATGACCAGTCTGCTGATCAATTCAGCATACAATACTAAAACAAGGGCAGTGGCCACAACTGAGGAGCAGGTTCTCCAAACCCAGAAGGATCTGGATAGACTATCGAAGTGGGCCATGGTAGGCATGTCATGAGTGGAGCCGGCTGGATCTGGGTGTCACACTAAATGGGCCAGGAGATCCCTTCTGACTCACTCTGTTTCTATGTTTGGTGGTAGTTCATGCCTTGTAGAGGGAATCCATATTCCCATCAGTATGGGCTTTAAAAAGTCCCTCTCCATCGAAGGGCAGGTCTTCAATGCGAGACCTTGTTTCTGCAGGAAGGGAGGCAGAGTAGAGCCATGCAAGGCATCGCATGGCTATGGCACCCATCATAGTTTGCTGTAGCAGTCAACATGGTGTCAAGCCACCTCAAGCTGGAACCTGGAGAGGTTCTCTGCTTCTTTGTGAATGAGGCGGACAGCATCGCGAAGGTGGTCTGGAAGTTGATCCGCCATTGTGCCCATCTTGTCCCATAGGAAAAGCTGCTACCTGGTCATACTTGCCTTGTAGTTGGTGACCAAGAAGCTGGGGGCAGTGGTCATGTAGACCTTTTTGGCCATAATATCCAAGCAGTGGCCCTCCTTGTCCACAAGAGTGGAGTGATCCCTCTGGGGTGTTCCCTGCATAGACTCCACGATGATGAAGTTAGGCTTGGGGTGTTGGAGGAGAAGAGGGAATGCCTTGATGGTTACCTTATAAGTGGAGTCAATCCTGTATGAGGTGGCCAGTGGGCCTGCAGGCACTTTCCACGTCTGCTGGGATGTGCAGAGCAACATAGGCAGTGCTGGGATGGACACTGGGGCAGCATTCCCTGGGGCCAAGGTATCACAGACTGGGTTGGCCTCAGGTTCAGGGGGGTGAAAGTTTGAATGCCTAAGATCAGAAAAACCACCCCTTTTTCCAGCTGACACAGAGAGATGCTGATCTAGGGCCTGCTCATCTGGGGAGTGAATAGAGGCCTGGGAAGGAGAGCATGATGAAACAGGAGAATGGCTCTGACCTGAGTCCTAAGAAGAATAGTAATGGCTCCGCCTCCAGCTTGGATGGTCTCATTGTGGAGCTGGTGACTGATTGCAGAGGGACAGAGCAGGGCTACAAGAGTGGTGGTACTGGCGAGGAGTCCTGTTTTAGCCTGCTCCAGGAGATAGCTCCAAGGTCGAGTTCTTACTGGGCTGGCATCGTTGAGAGGCATGAGCCCAGCCCCACGGGCTGACATCACACACAGTTTCCCTCTGGGGGCAAGAAGCATGGCAATAGTGGGAAAAAGGCTCCTCAACCACTGCAGTGTGGCAATCCTGGCTGTGAGCCCTGTGCCTGTGGCCTGGCTCCTCAGTGCACCACATGGGTTTGACACGTTCCCATGGGTAGCCGCAGTCCCGCGCATGCACCCTGCATGTTGGAGAGCGATGGTGGCAATGGTGGTCCTCAGAGGGAGCTGGGCTCTCAGAGGAGGAGGCAGGGCTTTGTTTGCAATGGTAGTCATAGCAGACTCAGCGGCACAAGGCAAGGAGCCTGTGGTGGGCCTGGGGCGCAGCATGGAACTCCAAGGAGGCAGAGCTGAAGTCAGCTGGACACAGCATCCTCTTGCACAGGGCCCTTGAGGTTGAGGCGGGAGACACACTGGGGTGGAAGAAGGCTGGCAACCATGACTATGAGTCACCCCAGTCCAGCAGGGGTGAAGGACAGTAACCCAGGTTACCCCTAGGCAATGAATTGGCGCATGTGGGCAACGATTTTTGCGGATGGTCCCTCGAAGAGGTGGAGGTGTGGCAAGCAGCTTCTGTAGACAGCATGGATGGTGGGCCACATGCCAGCAAGGACTTGGGGCACAGGCAGCTGGTTCCTGGCCACTGCAGGACGTGCTTCCAGGACTGAGGGCTTTGCATCCATAGGGGCCCCAGGGTCTGGTGTTGAAGGGCGATCCTGGGAAGACTCTAGTGCTGGGGGTGGGAGGGCAATCCTCTGCAGCACACGCTTTTTCTTTTGGGAGGCAGAGGCCATGGTGCCCAAAGGGCCCTCTCCCGGTGAGGCAGGTCTTTTCCTTGAGGTCCTTGCTCATTTAGATGGTCCCTTGGTGGAAGGTTTGTTGACCTCCAAAGAACTGAACGTCATGTGGACTCTTTGCCAGAGCACCAGTGGGAAGTGGGTAGACCTCTGCCTGTGCGTCTGCTTCTTAAACTCCTGGCAGTGGGGACAAGTCTCAACAACATGCCCCTTGCAGAAGCACTTGGAGTGGCCATTCATGGTGGGCAGCCAGGCCATGCAGGAGGAACAATGGCGAGAAGCTGACTCTGCCATGCTCTCTGAGCAGAAAAGGAAGGCAAGGAGAGAAGGGAGAGAGGCACAACAGGGGCCTCGTCTCTTGTGGCAGTAGCCGAGAAGGAATATCAGAAGTAGGGAGAAAAGTAGGTATGAGACTCAAAGCACGGTTGAAAAAAACTGGGGGACTGGGCAGGAGCCCCCCCCCCTTTATCTGCCTCAGACAGGGTGGGGCTGGACTCCCACCCACTCCGTGACACCAAGCTATGGACGTTTTTCTCCGACAAGGCCTTGCACTCCATGGCAAAGCCCATATGTGTGATGCACAGAGACCACAAAGAAGAACTACTACTATTCTCCTTTTGTTGTTGTAGGTACAGATGTCTGAGGAATCCATCTTGGGGGTGAGAATTTGTCATGTTCCCTGGGCTTGGCTCCCCAGATCCTGGCCCACTTTCTCATTGCTGTGAGTTCAACTTCCTGGCAAGTTCCCCTAGCATTCACATGATACATTTCAGGAATCAAACCCCACACAACCCCATCAAGCCTCCCTCTACTGTGCACATGACTTGTAGCCTTTGTTTGTACAGAAGTTTGGTAGCTGCACAGCAGGGGGTCCACAAGCATTTACAGATTTCCTCTTGGCTCAGCTTGCTTCATGGGGACACTAGTTGTAGGCCTTGGAATCAATGCCTGTGCTTGACTGTTCTGCAGCCTCTTGTGTGCAGTTGCACAAGATGTCCTTGCTTGCTGTTGTGAAGGTGGTCCCATCCTCAAGTACCTGAAAATGGTTTCATACTTTCACTGTTTCCAGTGGGGCAAGTGTCCTGAGGATGAAACACCTGCAGTCCTGGGGTTTTCTTTTCTTATAAAAAAGTAAGATATCTTACTAATAGTCTCCTGTCACAAGGAGCAGAGGGACACTCAGCATGACCAACTTATGGACCCCTGAATCTGTTCTCCAAATACTTTTGACATTCCAACATAACTGAAGGAGCAATGAACAGACTTTATATAAGGCAAAGCTAAAACGGATTTTTATTCACATTAAGTCAAAACTCTGGCCTGTGCTTTAGGCTTCAAGAGTTTCTAGAAACATCTATAGATGCAATCGCTACAAACAGATGTATTTAATAGGATACTTACAAAATGAAATATTTTCGGTGTCTTAATCTGAACAGCTATTCCACCATGTAAGTAAGGCTCCATATCTGCAGTATTCCCAATGCTGAAAGAATATGGTGATATCACTGCAAGAGAGAGTTGGGCAGGGTTCAAGGGGAAAGAAAGTTAAAAATTACCAGAACATGAACAAAAACATATACATGAACATACCAGAAAAAAGCACATTGATGTTATACAATGTGCATTTCACACAATCACAGGGTATGTACCAGTCACATGCCAGATGACTTGCATAATTACCCTCACCAAGTGCAGCTTCTTATGTCATCTGAACCCTGAGAATATGGCTTGTTGAAGTATTTAACAAGCCACCCAGAACCCATGGCCTACTATAGAACTATGAAGTTCTTTGTTAACCACCCCTACAAACTACCTTCATCAGGTTCAGATGACACAAGATACAACAGAAGTGAGGGTTTCAGCTGGCAACCTGGCATCTGTCATAACCTACCAATGGCCAAATAAGCCACAGTAGGCTACAATCATTATGCAAACTAGGTCACTTTCAGTTGGCTCACAAAGACTCTATCCTAAATGTGGCCTAAATGTAGAATCACTCCTGTTACCAATAAGAATTGTTTTTAATGAGAGAATCAAAAATACTTCTCTTCCAGCAAATAGCATTTTCAGATATTACTGGGGAATTCGTCAGGATTGGGGACAAGATGGATGTCACCAAATACAAGGCAATCTTAGAAGAAAACCTGTTTTGATTTGTAGATACCTGGAACTAGAGTACAGTTTTGTCTTCTTCCAGCACAATGACCCTAAACACATAGCCAAATTAACACTACAGTGGTTTAACTATGAGAACCCAAATGTTACAATGGCCTGTCAAATCCCAGACTTCAGTCTTACTGAAAATCTGTGGCAAGCCTTGAACATTTTTGTTCATCAATGGTCCCCATCCAACCTGACAGACAGCAGCTTTGTCAAAAAGGATAGGCAAAGACTGCAGGATCCACACGTGCAAAACGGACAGAGACTTACAAAGACTTACAGCTGTACATGCTGCCCAAGGGGGCTTCAACCAAGTATTGAACTCAGGTGAATCTTATGCAACACACAAATAACAGGGTTTGTTTTTTTTTAAACTTTACTTTGTGCCACAACAAAACTATTTTGCACCTTCACAGCACTGAGTATCTTGCATACATCAGGTGGTAACAATGGCAATTAAATCCATTTCAGTTTCAGGTTTAACACATCAAAATATGGAGAAGTCAGAAGTGGGTCTATTAGGGATGTGTGAGAAATTCAATTGAGGATGGAAACCCATTGGATTCCCTGAGCTTGATTCCCAGACTCCAGCCCATGTCACAGTGGTGCTGAGTCTGAGTTCCTGACAAATGCTCCCAGCATTCATAGGGTGCTCACCAGGAATCAAGCCCCACACACTGCACAAATAGCCCCCCTCTTCCGCATCTGCTTCCACTGGCAACAAGGGGCTGGGAAGAAGGTTGGTCACCAGAAACAGTGTCCAACATGCCTGCTTGCAACATCCCCTTCAACATCCTGCATTTGCCTGAATTTTGCAAGTATACATCTCAAACCTGGAAAATGAGATGCTTTGTCAGATCAAAGCTTCGTCAGATTCCCAACAAAAGGTAGTACAGAGAAAAAGAAGTCTTACATGTCCGTCATGGGATGTGGATGGCTGGGTGAATAAATTGCAGGATAGTACCTTCTTAGAACATGTGTACATGTTACCCGGAAAGAAAAGTGCATATTGGTTGCTTGAAGTGAATAACTTATTCGAGGGGTTTGCTGCTCTCCTGTCTTGCTGATACTGTATAATCCATCCTTTGGCTTCATATATTTTCAAGCTAATCTGTGTAGCCACAAAGGGCAACAATATGTTTCTATACATGGAAACTAAGGTAGCCCCATGTCCACTATCAAATTCGCCCCTGTTTTTATCCCACAATTCTTGTACTTTCAAGCTGATGCCAAAATCTATTTCTCTATCCCATGAATTCACAGAATTTCTGCCCATCGTAATTGAGAAGATTTCAGAAAGTCTCCATAATGTGGAACAATGATATACATGAAAGGACAATCTATCTCTATCAGTTTGTAAAGAGATATTTCTACATAATCTAGAAAGCTACACAAAATGTGGCTTACCAGTTATCTGATGCATGGATCCATTTAAGTATGACATTCCATTGATTTCCCGGAAAGTTACATACTGTCCCGTTTCGAGCTTATGAGGATTATTATCAAGGCAAGTGACAATACCAGGATTAGACTGAAATTGAAAGCACCACAAATTAAGGTGGGATGGAGAATCCATACAGTCATTCCAATTTTTACGTTTTGTATACATAACTGCCATACACCTATATTCAATATTACTCCAGTCTTCCCAGAATTAGGGAACACAACACATACATCAATGCCAACCAAAACATAGCTGAAGATCATTACTATTTTACCATGAAGACTGCAAAAAATCAACTTTTGGGCCTAGAACTTCATGTCAGAGTGGAAGAATCATAGTGGAAGGTATACACAAAAGCACCCAAAGAGACATTAGTTCAGTTGGCCAGGCCAGCTTCAATATCTCACCTATCAAACTAGAAAGCTAATTCAAACATTACCACAGCAGAACAGAGCTATAAGTAATCTCCAGGCATATGTGATTTCTCAGTAAAAATCATAGTGTAGCATTCAAGCATTAACTGGACCACACAAATTGGATAATTAAACTCTGCAATCAATCCTTTAAAAGCAAACTTATGATGTTAATAAGGTAAGGTTGCTTACCTGTAACTGACGTTCTTTGAGTGGTCATCTGTGCATTCACACATATGGACTCTGGCTGTGTGGGGCCTGTTGTCAGGAGGAATTGTAACCTAGATTCATTCTGCTGGGAGCCCTCCCCTGCCTCCACCTGGTATATCCAGGAGGGGCTCCTGCCATTTTCCACAGTACTCTCAGGACCAACATTGTGGCCTTGGAACTGCAGGGAAGACCAGTGAACAGCTGACTTGTACCATCCAGATATGGATCTGAAGGAAAACTATGCTACCAAAACTCAACACTGACATCGGGGCAGAAAACAGGTTGTGTGAATACACAGATGACCACCTGAAGAATGTCAATTACAGGTAAGTAACCTTACTGTCTTCTTTGTGGTCTTTGTGCACATACATGTGACTAACAAGCTTATGATGAGACGGGGCAGACAGCTATCATCAGCAGAGGATCACCGAGAGGACTACCACTGAGAGGAAAATCTTGCATGGCATGGACATCAAGTGCTGGATGAAGGGCAACAGAGTGGAGCACCTCACTGCTCTACAAAGGTTCTGCAGTGGGATGATGGCATGCAGTGCTGTTTATGTCATTACTGCTCTGACTCTGGGCCTCTCAGGAAGCTACAGTCTGGATAGCTAGTAGGCTAGCATGAAGGTCTCAATCTCATTTTGACTTGGTTACCTTCCAGGTAACCTACCTTGACTTTAGTAAAGCTTTCGACATAGTGTCCAACAATATTCTGATAAGCAAATTAGCAAAAACTGGACTAGATAGAAAAATTATTAGGTGGATCCAAATTGGCTGCTAAATTGGACACAAAGTGGCATCAATGAAACTGGAGGGAGGTAACTAGTGCGGTGCAGCAGGATTCAGTCCTAGTCCCAGTGCTCTTCAACATCTTTGTTAATGAGGAAGTACAAGGAACGATAATCAGATTTGCAGATGATACAAAATTGGGTGGAACAGTGAACACCCTAGAAGACAGAATGAAGATCCAGGGCAATCATGATAAACTTGAACACTGGGCTCAAAGCAACAGAAATAAATTCGGTAAGGACAAGTGCCAAGTTTTCCACCTAGGAAAAAGAAACCAAATGCATCAATACAAGATGGGGAATATGTGGCTCAACAGAACTGAAAAGGAAAAAGACCTTGGAGTTATTGTGGACAACAGGCTAAATATGACCCAACAATGCAATGCAGCTGCAAAAAAAGGCAAAAGCTATTTTGGAATGCATTAGTAAAAGTATTAATTCCAAGTCACATGAAGTAATAGTTCCCCTACACTCATCACTAGTTCTCTATATTAGTTGGACCCCATCTAGAAAATGGTGTCCCAGTCTGGGCATCAAGATTAAAGAAAAATTAGAAAGCATCCAGAGGAGGGCAATAACAATGATCCAGGGTTTGGAAACACTTGCGCTATGAGGAGAGACTGAAAGAACTGGGCATCTTCATCCTTGAGAAGACTGAGGGGGGACATGATTGTTGTTGTTAGTCGCGAAGTCGTGTCCGACCCATTGCAACCCCATGGACAACATTCCTCCAGGACTTCCTGTCCTCCACCATCCCCCAGAGTCCACTTAAGCTCACACCAACTGCTTCAGTGACTCCATGTAGCCAGCACATCCTCTGCCGTCCCCTTCTTCTTTTGTCATCTATTGTTCCGGGGACATGATATTCCTATATAAGTACCTCAAAGGCTGTCACAAACAGGAAGGTCAAGATCTCTTCTTGCTGATGCCAGAGTGTAGGACATGGAATAATCCACTCAAGTTGTGACAACCCAGATCCGGGCTAGATATCAGGAAAAGTTTCTTCACTGTCAGAGCAATACGACAGTGGAACCACTTGCCTAGAGAGATTATGGACTCTCTTAAACTAGAGGCATTCAAAAAGAAAGTGGACTGTCATCTGAGCGGGATGGTGCAAATGGTAGTCCAACTCCACTGTTCTATGATTCTGTGGCTTCAACAACCCAGTGCAGAGATCAAATGCTAACTGGCTCACCTCTGGATCATTCATCATAAGGAACAGAGTCTTTGGGACCAGCAGAAGGATTCAGTACGGCACCAATAAACTGCTAGCACTCTGCACACCCCGACCAGATTCAGTGGTGTCAGGAAGAATGCTGGCAAAACAATGTCCTCATTTAGGTGGAACAGTGATGCAGCCTTTGGGAGGAATGCTGGGTCAGATCATAGGACTGCCCTGTCCCTATAGAATGTAAGGAAAGGTGGGTCAATGCACAAAACAGAAAGTTCACTCACCCACCTGGCTGATATGATTGTCACAAGAGGAGGCATAAGTCCATTGTAGCCAAGTAGTCAATGGGAAGCTTCATGAGAGCTTGCAGGACCACTAACAGGCTCCATCTCAGCACAAATGATTAGGGATGTGGGAATACAGTTCTGCAGTTCTCTCAGGAAGCAATGGAACAATAGATGTGAACAAAATGGAGAAGCCATCAACTATCCCATGGAACTAGCATATCACTGCCAGGTAAACTTTGATGGAAGATGGTTTCAAGCCTCTGGAATGCAGAGTAAGGAGGCAGCCAAGAATCTGACGGATGGATGTCTGATGTGGATTGAAGGCTTTTCCTCAGGCAAAGGCAGTGAAAGTGTTCCATTCTGCTATGTAGGAAGCCTTGTGTTCAGTTGCAGGGTCACATCCATGATTGCCTGTATCTCAGGATGAAGAGGGACCTCCTGATCTACCAGCCAATCTTCCACACCATGAGATGGATTGTACCAACGTCTGGGTGCAGGATTATCACTTGGTCCCGAGAGATGATGTTTGGTCTCAGTGGGAGCCATACAAAGTTGTAGTTGGACAGGCAGAGGAGGTGGGCAAACTATGCCAGTGGGAACCAGTATAGCATGATCAGGATGCACAAGGTGACTTCATTCTGGATCTTTGACAGCACCCTGGTGATAAGTAAGAAAGGCTGGAACAGATAAAACAGGGTCCCTTCTCATCAGAGAAGGAATGCATCTCCCATTGGGCCTTGGCTGGTCCTGGCTCAGTAACAGAAGCTGTCACACACTGCATTGCTTGTAGTAGGCCATCACACACTGCATTGCTTCTTTCCTTGTAAGCTGTCCAGATACTTTTTTTTTAGTAATGGATGGCATAGAAAATAAATAAATAGTAGCAAAGAGGTCTACTGAAGGGGTGCCCCAGGTCTGTAAGAGCTATTCAATGACTTCTGCATGCAACTGCCATTCATCTTGGTCCTCATGCTCAGGACATCTGCTGTGATGTCGACAGTCCCAGCCAGGTGGATGGCTACAATGGTAATGCCTCCTCCAAGGCACCAATCCCAGATGAGGATGGTGAGGTGTGTCAGGGACATGAACCACGTGCCACTTTGCTTGTTCAAGTAGAACACCTTTGCTTGTTCAAGTGTTGTCTGAGGCGATCTGACCAGAAGCTGTTCTGGCTCGGGGACAGCTGAACAGAATCTGTCCCTGAGGTGAAGCTGGAATGCAATCAACAGTTTCTGGATCACCAGGAGCTCAAGGTAGTTTATGTGTTTCTTTCAGTCTTGATCCATCCATACTCCATGAATCCTGCTGCTAGCACAGTGCACTCCCCAACACAGGCAAGATGTGTCTGTAGTCAGAATAGTGTCCAGCTCCCTCAATGCGAAGGTGATTCCCTCTGCCTCACTGCATCAGCAAATCTACCAGATAAGGCTCACCTCTATGCATCAGGTGCTTCCAGACAGAGTCACATTGAGGTTGATGGTCATGCACAATCCATAACTGGAGCAGTCACATCTATAGCCTGGTGAACAGGATGACTGTGACCACCAATACCATGAACCTAATGAGCCACTGCACCCACCACACCATAGTTCTGCAGGAGACCCGAAGCTGTGTGGCTAGCTCAGTCAGTGTCAGCTGGGAAGCAGGCCCATGCTGCTGCTGTGCTGAGTTTCATTCTGATGTAGAGGATGGACTGGGAAGGAGAAATACAGAGTATGCACTGTTAATATACAGTCCCAGCATCCTTAAGAGGTCACATGTAACAAAGATGAAGTTTAAGAGATCTTGGGATGGGGTGTCCAGCAGCCAGTTATCCAAGTAGGGAAACACCTGAATTCCCTGCAGTCAATGATGGGCACACACCACAGCCATGCAATTGGTGAAGACTGAGGGGACTGAGCAGAGGCCAGACAGAAGCACTGAACACTGGTAGGCATCTGAGTGGAGCTGGAACCAGAGGAAATGCCAGTAGTATAGGAAGATGGTAACATGGAAGTACGCATCATTTTTAAATCAATCAAGGCAAAGCAGTCCCCTTGGTGCAACAATAGGAGGTTCTGCAATGAGACCAAGTGAAACTTCTTATAAGTTAATGTCCCACAGGTTGCAGATGAGAAGGTATGGTACGGTAAAGTATAGAATGTAGAATACAAAACAGAGATCGATGGAGGAATGGGTCAGATCACTCCCTTCACCAACGATATGATGATTTCCTCTGGCAACACAGAAAAGGTGTGAGTTGGAAGGGTATCGAATTCAATGCAATATCCACTCTCCACAATGGAGAAAACCCACCAATCTGACATTATGCTTTCCCAGGCAGGAAGGTAGGTGGTCATATGGCCTTCAAACCATATCTGCATGGGGCAACAGGGTCAGCTTGCTGCACAAATCTAACGTGTCCAGCCTCTTTTTCTGCAGCTACTAGAATCAAGAGGTAGTCTCTCCAGGGGGACTAGGAGGACTGCAGCTGGCACACAGCTCAGGATTATTGTCCCCTAGGCTGGTACGGGAAGGAACCCCCAGTCCATTTACATGTCCTCTACTGGTGCAAGGGACACACAAAACCCATTTTCTTCACCATCATTCTGGCCTTGTGCACAGTATCCAGCCTCTCATCCATGCATGTGTTGAAGAGGCCCTCCCCATTGAATGGGAGCTCTTAAATCCTAGAGCAAGCCTCCTGGGACAAGTTCACTGCCTAGAGCCAAGCATGGTGCTAGATCACCACTGAATCCACCACCATGGAGTCGCAGTTGACATGGTGGCAGGCAATGTTAATCTACTGCCTGAAGAGATGGAGGGTCTCAAATTGAAACACCCTGGCCAGATCCCAATACACCTCTGGAAAGTATGAGGGTGCATAGTTGGAGATGCGCAGTCTCATTGCCACCAATGCACAGATCCACTTTGCCAATGACTCCAATCAGTACCCCTTCCTATCTACCAGAGTCAAATGCTCCCACTGCAACAGACCCTGTGCCAACTTGACAATAATGAGTTTGGCCATGGATGTTATAGTAGAAAGGATATCACCCTTTACCAGAGACATTGCATGCTCTCCAATTGCCATTATGTTGGTTACAGGTGTGCCAGTGCCTTCCATGGTTCCTTCATTGATGCAAGGAGCATGAGCAGGAACAGGATGTACACTGGCACAGCATTCTCCATCTGGACAACACCAAAGACTGGATCCACATGTGGGTCAGCAAGCTGCTGTCTTTAGTTCCAGTGAGATCACTATCCTCAATGAGGTCACCATTCCATTGAGGTCATCATAATCAATTCAAGTTGTGACAACCCAGATTCAGGCTAGGCATAAGGAAAAGCTTCCTCACTGTCAGAGCAATACAACATTGGAACCAGATGCCTAGAGAGGTGGTGGGCTTTCCTACACTAGAGACGTTCAAAAAGAAACTGGACAGCCATCTGAGTGGGATGCTGTACCTAGCTGCCCTGCAACAGCAGAGGACTGGACCCAATGCCTTCATGGCCCCTTGCAACTCCACTATTCTATGATTCTATGATCTGAGGATTTGCTTGGAGAAATGGTCTAAGTCCTTGGAAGGGCATCATGGTCCCTGGGCTATGATTATGTCATTTGACAATGAGGTGAATGGGTCGTCATGCACAGCTAAGTCAGAGCATAGTCCTTCAGGCCCAATGAAGGAGATCCTCAGCAGGGTGGCAAGGCAGTCATACGGGGTGGGACAGGCAGATGAAGTGTTGGAACTGGCATCCTGTATTCCTTGGACTGATAAACCAGGGCCTCAACAGTGAGGGAACTGGGGATCATCTGGGTCTCTTCCTCTTTCATAGCCACAGTAATACAGGAGGGGCATCCAGTAGGCCTTCTGATCCCAAGTTGGCAGCAGTGACCTGGAACATTCCCTTGGCCAGTGACTAGAAGCACAAGATGGAGCAGGCAAGAAGTTGCTAGCCTGATGCAGTGAAGGTCAGGCAGCTAGTCCCACTGGTAGCATTATGGCCAGCTGCAACTGATGCGGGGAGAACAAAACCCTTGAAGGCAAGGAGACCAATGGCAGGTGGGCTGGGGCAGAGTGCAGGGTGGCAAGTCAAGGATCTCCCCTTCAGAAAAGGACTGCGTTCCTGCTGGTTCCATCACTGGGACAGTCCATGACATCATCGTAATCAATGCTAGTACAAGCACAGGTAGCATTGGTAGAGAATGGCACCTAGGCTGTTTCTTGTTTTAGGCCTTCTGTGTCCCTGCCATCCTTTGGGCCTTTTTGGCTAGCTTCTTCACCCAGCAGGCCTCATCCATGCACCCAGACATGGGCAGCACAGACAAAATGGCTGATGAAGCTCCTGCAGCCACTGATGGAGGGCAGTGAGATGGAACAGACAGGGAGGTAGAGAGGGATTCAAGCAGTGCTGCCATGGTCAAGTCAACCATGCCAAACTTCAGCCCAGAGCTGCCATGCTTGGTTTTTCCAGGCCTGCTGAGTGAAAGCCTGGCAGTACACTCAGACTTCCATGCAGTGCCCCCTGCCAAGACAAAAGAGATACAACAAGTGTCCATCCATGGGAGGTAGGCAACTCCACAGCAGGTGCACTTCCAAAAGGGAGACCTGAGTGCCACTGGGAGAAGAAGAAATTAGAAAGAGAAAGACAGGAAAAATCCGGAGAAGAAAATGTCAACAGAAGGGTTTTTTCCAAGTTTTTGAAACAAAGTTTAACAAAGAACAAAAGCAGGGTTTTTGAAGAAAAGATTGAGAATACAACAAAGCAAGTGAATGACTATCATTTATTTATTTTAAAAATTTCTACCCTATCTTTATTCAAAATGGATCTTAAGATGACTTATTAACCAGTAACAACACATTAAAATACAATATAAAAATATTCAGTAAAATTCCAATTATATAACAGACCACCAGCCCTTAAAATACTGGATGAATGAAAAGGTTTTGGCCTGGCATCGAAAGGAATAAAGTGTTGGCACCAGGCACAGCTCTCTGGGGAGCAGGTTCCAAAGTTGGGGCACTACCACAGAAAAGGCCCTTCTTGAGGTAGCTACTCGTCTAACCACCTTCAGAGAGCGTTCTTTTTTATTAGAAAAAAAGACAGAAAAAGAAGTAAAGAAAGCTGATAATACCATAAAAGGAAAGCCCCAAGGCACCTGCAATGGCGATCAGAAGAGAACTGGGAAAATGGTGGGAGCCTCTCCTAGATACATCAGGGGAAGTGAGGAGAGAGGCTTCCACCAGAATGAGTGTAGCTTGGAAAGCTTCCCAACAGCAGGCCCACACAGGGGCACCACCCATATGTGTGATAAACAGACCATGAAGAAGAACTGTGTTCTTAAGCAGAACACTTCTTTATTCTGCAAATGTTTCAAAAAATAAGTATTACAAAATCATTTTGTAGTGAAAATAACTGTTTCACTATTTCTGCAAAATAAACTTAAAACATGTATTACTCCCATTTCCAACACCCAGCCTACACAGGTTCATCTTTTCTATATAATCTTTCCATCATCTTGCTCTAGAGTTGTGGGTTTAAACCATGGGTCCTCAAACTACAGCCCCTGGGCCGGATCCAGCCCACCATGCCCATTTATCCGGCCCAGCATAGAGGTTTTGGACTCATCGCGAGCATGTGTGGCAAGGCAGCGGCTTGCTCATGCAGAGATCATTTTGGACCCGCTCAGAGAAAAGGGTCTCCGCATGAGCAAGTCACCACCTCACAGTGTGCGTGCCCGGCGGTGGCTTGCTTGTGCAGAGATCGTTTTGGACTCGCTCAGAGAAAAGGATCTCCATGCGTGCCCGAGCCCCCCTGCCCGCACTGCCTTGGTGGCCCATGCCCATTGCCAGAACCTTTCAAATGGCCCCCTGTTGAAAAAGTTTGAGGACCCCTGGTTTAAATTTTACACACAAACCTCACACACAAATCTTAAGGTAAAAGCTTAAGCTAAATCAATATTTTAAAATAGCATTAATTATAAACATAAAATCAGCAAGGACTAGGACTGCACATTTTTGTCTTCACCTGAGATATATTAGAAATAAAGATTTCCTTTGGTTCCTCTCCTGTGGTGTCCAGAACTTCAAATTCATCACCAAAATCACAAAACAGACGTGCCCATATCCCATATACATCAGCACTTATAAACTAGAAAGAAGACAAGTGAAGAACAGTTTGTTAGATTTCAAAGAAATTTGGACCAATGATTTGTTGTTAACTGTTGTTGTTAAGCGACAAAAAATGAAGTGATACACTGTATAGATCCACCACACAGTAAATGTATGATAGAACTGGCCTATACTAACTGGATTTAAAAGAGCTGAGCAAGGCTGTTAAGGGCAGGACATTTTGGAAGGCATTCATTCATAGGGTCACTGTAAGACAGAGATGTCAGCACATAACAGCAAAAGCCAAAACTGGATTTATAATAGTATCACAAATTACTTTGCCTCCCAGCCACTCCCACTTCCTAGTTTTAAACTTCAGTTTTATTATATAAGAATATGTACAATTTCCTACAGGGAAACCCACTTTTCACACAGATGTATATTCATGTAGCCTCAGGTTATGCATGTTTTTCTAAAATGCAAAAACTATCCAATATGTCTTTCATTAGCTCTAGAGGTTCCACCAGTGCAACCTGGCTGGATCAGGAAAAATGTGCAGTTCAAAATGACATATTGATTGGGTTCACACAGCATGCTAAGCAACCATGGGAAAGGCTTAATGCATTGTGGGAACCACCTGCTTCTCTTCTGAGGTAAACTGACTGCCCTGGGATGAATTATGTGTCCATGGCTTGCTATCCTGTTCAGGAAACCCACTGTGACTTAGCATGTCAAACTTGGACAGCAAATTAAGTCATGGTAAAACCAAAGTAACTAAAAGAGTCCCTTAGCAAGAGTGGCAACATAGGGTTGCCACCCTATGTTGCCACTCTGGCCAAAGAACTCTAGTTGCCTCACACCTCCTCCTCTTCCAACTGCACTCAGGACTTGAAATAACGGAGGCACGGTGGGGCAGAGGCCTTCCCCCTAACTGGCTCACAAAGTCATTAGTTGGGTTGGAGGCATGATTCCACCTGTCATTGTCCTGCACACATGCAGCACCAAAAGGCAGAACTGAGCCCCACACATGCACACACAAGCCAATTAGTAAAGTGTTGGGCTCTGACAGAGTTCCCCACCCGCAACCCAACTAACAAGAACTTTGCTTGTAGGGTTGCAGGAGCTGCAGGTAAGCAGCAGGAGAGGGGCACAGACTGCTTCATGCTGGACTTATAAACTCAGAAAGAGGTGGTCCAAGCCTTCCTTTCCTGCCACTCAGGTACACTGTTGCTGTACAGCAGGAAGAAGGACATGGGGAAGGACATGGGCCTTGCACTGGGCTTTCAAGTCCAGCATTAGGTGGCTCACAACCCACTCTGCTCAGTTTCCCTGCCCCTTGCTCCTGCTGATGTCAGCAGAGCTGGACTACTCATAAGCAATCCTGCTTTGCAGGCACACACAGGAGCTCAGGGCAAGGAAACTGATGACAGTGACCTAAAGAGCTACTTTTCATTATCATCCTGTTCCTCTCAGTGTTACATCAAGGTGTCTCCAGGATACTGACTGGAAGACTGAGAGGGAAAGAGGGGAAGAAATGCCTCAGTATTCCTCCTGTGCACAAGCATTATCAAACACAGTTGAGGGCCTCTGGCAACTTTTTAGCCATGTTAGACTTAAAGTATCAAAACCTGACCTCTATCTGATAAATATTAATCATGTTGTAGACCTGTCTGCTTTTTTGCGGTTCTTTTTTGGGAACAACATCTGTTTGCCTTTGTTTTGAAAAGACTTTTAGAAAACCATGTAAGTACTAAAGAAGTGTGTTAACCATAATATTTATGTGCAGGGTAAAAAAGGAACTTTCCCAAATAATATCCTTTCAACTTTATGCATTCAGGATTTACCAAGTTTACTTTTTCACTTCTGAATTGGTGCAAAGAATTCTTTCCCCAGATAAATTCAATTCTACCTTTAAATTGCATAACTAGCTCTTGTGGATTTCTGTCTATCCACGTTGCTAGAATGGCTAGCATGTTATTTGGTATGATCCCCATAAAATATTGAAGTTATTTTTATTAAAGATTTTTAAAAGTCTGCCTGATGAAAACTGGAATTCTAACAAGGGGAAAGATACCTGTCTCCATTGGAGATGATATATCATGCAAACAGACACCTGCTAACACAAGGATTTGATCCAGTCCCATACTCACTCAGTGATTTGCAGGCACTTACTGGTTAAACACATGCAACCAGAAACTACTTGCAAATCCCCATTTTTCCAGTGGCTCATTTCTGCTAAATTGAAAAGGGTTTAAGCCTCTAGGCGGCAACTGAATTATGTGTTCATTCTTAGACTTTAGGCATAGGAATATCAAGGAAGAGAATGACAAGGAGAATACCAGAGGCTATGAGCATACCGATCAACATACAATTCAGCATACCAGAGGTTAATGCTGCATGCACCACAATAAGCTACCTTATATTCACCGAGTCAGGAATGTATGAGGCATGAAAGAACATATGGACAAATAACGAAAACTTCTCAGAAGGGACAGATGTGGTTAAATTTTAGTCTGCCTTTTTACTGTAATTTGCCAACATTACCTTAATTGGTGGGTGTTGTGAATGGCAAAAATCATTTATCTTCTTTTGCAGTGACAGTTTCATTTCAGTTACTATGACACACTTTTAAAAGAAAAGTTTCAGAGGTGAGTCAAAGATTGGTTACAGGCTATAAATTTACAGACTTTCCAAATATCCCAGGTTACAGAGCCCTTATATACAGATATCATGAAGAAAAGTCAAATTGATCTTTGTTCACAAAAAGTGGGTGGCCAGGTTACCATGCTCTCTGCAGCAACATCCTCAAATGTTTGGTTGGAGTTCAGGACCTGGCTTCTCTGGGAGTCCTTTCACTTTTACAACCTTTCCTGAGATTGTAAGTCCCACTGTTGAGAATTAGGGTGGCAAGTATTCTTGGCACACACCAATCTGGATTCCAAGACAGAGGATGAAGGGGAGGAGGTGGACAGAGTGTGGGAACATGGGATTCAAGACTCTGAGATGATAGAAGCACCACTTATCTCAACATCATTCTCCCCAAGCACCCAGGCATGCTCTGAGAATAGCCAATGGGGATGGGAGAGGAATTCTCAGAGTCAGATGAATTCAATACAACTCTTGATCCCAATACACAGCAGCAGGAAAGGAGGGAATGACTATTAGTGAGGAGGCATATAGAAAGGAGGTGGGGTCACTTCCAAAGATACCCTTCTGAAGGGATCAGGCCCAGAGATATTCAAAAGCAGAATTTCCAGAAGTAGTTGTCTGGATTGAGCTCAACAAACTACTCTGTGCATGCACAGGGATATATTCTGTAAAGATTACATTCACTGGGTGTCCTTCAGTGAATAAAGAGCTTTTGCAAAGAAAGTTGGTTGCCTTGAATGTGCAAAGGGAGGAAAACTTGGTTTATCACCCAGGAAGGTGGAAAATTGAATCACCCCATTTTATAGAAGCATGGAGGTTTGATTGCAACCTGTCAACGCTCCAGCTCCATTTAAAAGTGTTTCGTGTTTTGGAATGTTTTGTTTTGTTGTTGTTTTTTGCTTGGTTGCTTGCTTTTGTCAGGGCTCCTCATGAGCTTTTGTATATTCAAGGATATCACAGAAGCATAGAATAGTATAGTAGAGTTGGAAGGGGCCAGAAGGCCATGGGGTCCAACCCCATTGTGGTAAGGGTCAGGAGGAGCTACAAATAATAACAATTGGCTACCAAGGCCAGCCAAAATTTGTCAACCATTTGGACAGCGAGCAGAAGCTTCAACTATATTCTAACATACCTGGTACTGTGAGAGAAAGGAGAGGTCTGTAAACTCATTTAGTGGAGCAACTGATGAAATCACCTGGACATGTGGGTTCAGCTCCACAATGTGATGAAGTGTTGCCTCAGCTCTGAAACAGATGTTCTAATTTTGTTACTGACAAGCTAAATTTATAAGTTGAACCTTGCAAATATATCCACAAACATTACTAAAACATCTACTTATATGCATACCCAAGTCATTCATTGTTAAAGTATTGTTAAAGTAACAACAGCCTAGAGCATCCTTCCCCAACCAATGACCGTGCTGGTTGGGGGTTGCAAAATTTTTCCTATCTAGTTAAGTTTACTTAGGGTAAGGTCGGGACAGGACAGGATGAGTCCTTACAGATTTTACTCCACTAGCTGAACAGCTATGACGGGCAGTGCTCATCTCCGTTTCTAAGGCCATGAGTCAGCGCTGTCCAAAGACATTCCAATGGTCATGTGGACAGCATGACATCACAGGGCACTGTTTCCTTCCCACTAAAGTGGTACCTATTTATCTACTTGCATTACATACTTTTGAATTGCTAGGTTGGCAAGAGCTAGGTAGGGACAAGGCAGTGGCGGTTAACTCCATTGTGCAGCTTCAAACTTTCAATCAGCAGCCCAGTGGTTCAGCAGTTAAACCCGCTGCACCATCACATCCCCTTAGGATAGACAACCACAGAAAAAACTTTTCTAAGACTATGGGCCTATCACACAAAAATAACAGGAGCTACTCGCATTTACTGTGAAGAAGCCCATGAATACTCCATTTGCAGGTTGTTAATGCAGTGTCTGAGCCTGGACATTTTGGGTTACTTGGGGTTAAATAATCCAAAGTGCCTGGGTTCAGCCATTACACTAAGAACCCAAGACCAAGCTAATTATTGTTTAAAACCAAAACTGACTGGCTACTCTGCTGATACAAGAAAACCCATGATGGGGTTTTGTTACATGCAAACTAAGTAAGTAAGAACTCAGCATGGCTAGTTGGGGCTTGCTGAGAGTTGTGTGCCTTTTCTCCTGCTAAACCAAAAGAATTGTGCCCTTAATGTCAAAACATAGTTCTTGCTTGGTCACTTGGTTTCTGGGTCAAGTTCTTCCTAACAATAGTCACTTTTTGTAGAAATCAAATAATTTGCCTGAAGTTTAATTACAGATTTTTTGTAGAGGACTTTTAATAAGGTGTGCTAGGTTTGTTTCTCTGAAAGGGTTTTCATACTATAACTCAGACATAACATGATTTATCATAGAAAAACATTTCATTGATAGAAATGTGTGACAGAACATCTCCACTACTCAATTCTCTACAGAAAACCTCTCATTTTCATGCATGTATTGTTTCATAAAATAGTTTCATTAACTAGTAACCTAATGAATTAATACCAGTCAAAATGAAAATCCAAACTGTGATTAACTTTTCCCCATGACTATCCCTCTTCATTTGCACAGCAACTCAAGCATGCTAAAATTAGAAAGTTATCAATATTCAGTGACTTCATTTTTTCTTAAAATCTCAGTATTGTACAGAAGTGTGTGATAGTGATACCTTAATGTATTTATTTATTATAGTTCTATGCTGCATCCAAAGCCAGGTAGGCTCTCTGGGTGGTTTACAACAGAATGCAACAAAAATGAACACAATTACAGGTAAAACTGAATTAAAACACTAAAACAATAAGCCCATATTTGAAATTTTTGAAATAATAAAATCAGAATTTAAAATAAAACATTTAAAACAGATAATTTTTTAAAAATACAATCTGGCAGTTAAAATCATATAAAGGAAGCAGCAAGAATAGATAAAACTTGTTGCAGCTACATTAATTGTTTGACCTCCAACAGCATATCCACTCAGTGGAGACTAGGAAAAATGACCCCCACAATTCTGTCTTGTAACTATACTAATTCTTTTCATCAAATATGGGGAAATGTGTACCCAACTTCTCGCTTTAAATATACACAATTAACACATACTGGTTCCAATAAGCAGGCAAGAATCAATCCAAACTTTTTTAAAGATACAAATTAAAACAATGACATTTAAGTATTAAAAAACCAAAAAAACTCAAAACCAGGCAACACAATTAGTATATATAATGAGAACAGAGCCCTCAAATCTTCATATTATTTCTGAAAAATTGTGCAAACCTGTTCCTTAGATTCAGAATATCATCTTCATGAACAAAAAAGTTTGTTCCTAAATCCCATATCCGGCACAGCTTGGTATCATGAATTGTGAGAGCCTTCAGGAAAGATCAGGAAAATAGGATTAAAAATTATTTGAAGAGGTAATTGCTCACCTCAACAAGTGTGTACATAGTGATTATGACTTATACAATTACCAAGTTTATTACACAGAACCGAACTAGATATTACAGAGAACATAAGACTGCTACCAAAAAAAATTTGCCAGATGGTTACCCCAATTCTGATTTCTCCACACCTTGCCAATCATTGATTAGAAGCAAGGATGAAAAAATGCAGACCAATATGATGACAAAAGATGGTTAAGTTCTGCTAGATATTACAAATGCAAAGAGTGAATTAGACACAGCCATTGGCTGAGGCAGTTGCTATACTATCTAGTTTGGCCCTGTGACTCTGGCAACCCTACCCATCTGAACTATAGTACCTTTCTCCCATGTAATTAAACATGCAAGGCATACTTCCTTCATTATTGTTATTTCATTATTGTTACATTAATTTATTTAAATTTGCATTCCAGCTTACCGCAAAATTAAATTACCGTGTGCAAGATAGTTGAAGATAAAATACAAAAGAAAAATAGGAATCCAAACATAAACTTTGTTATATATAAATGGCCAGGTGAGCAAAGTTCAGTGCTTACAGTGGTGATAACAGGTCAGTTTATGAGGTCAAAGGCCTATCTGAATTTTTAAAAAAGCATTTGTAGAAGCAGAGGAGGCTAAACAGGCATCCCTTGGTAAGAAGTTCTAGAGCAGGAGGAAAGCCAGGGAGGCCATTTCCCAAGCTCTCGCCAGTGTCATGTAGTGGTTAAGAGTGCTGGGCTGGAACTCAGATCTGATTTCCAGTCCCCACTCAGCCATGCAGCTCTTGGGCCAGCTGCAGACCAGCCAGAGTCTTTCAACCCAATCTACCTCTCAGGACTGCTGAGGTGATAAGATTGAAAGGAAGAAGAAAATTATGTAAACTGCCTCAAGTTCCTTGAAAAGGTAGGACGTAAAATAAATAAATAAATGTTCCTGTACATCCTAGAGGATAGAATGGCCTCTCTCAAAGAGTATCAGATTTTAAATCAGATGTGCCCAAGAAGTTATTCTCCTCAGTGTTCTAGTCTGTAAGTTTAGAAGCACAGAAATTAGCTTTTGCTTCTAAAGAACAACTAGAATGGGAAACGTTCTATATTAAAGCAAGAAGCTCTTCAGAAAATCAAACTGGGTTGATTTAAATGTTACATTTTTGCAATCCTTGTACCATAATATGTCGTCCACCCCCACATCAAGGGGAACCTATGACGCTTTTAAAATTAGGAACAACCCACAGTTTATTACCATAGGTTGTCTGGTAGTGAGCAAGAGGAAGTGAATGTGCTGGCTCCTACCCACATGTTTACCTCCAGTGTCCCCTAAACAATCCTGGAACATCCAAACACGGAATGCTGGACTACTGGGGGCGGGGGGACACCACCCAGAGTTCTAACCCAAGTGTTTAGTGCAATGGAATCTGTCAGGCCGTTGAAAACTAGCACAATCACTCTCCCAAACAACTCATGATTAACAAACCATTGGCTGTAATGAAAACCATCTTCGGCTATGGGGCATAGCCCCATAAAGTAAAAAAGTGCAAGAAGAAAATAGTGTGAAACTATAAATCCAGTCAGCTAGTGCAAGGAACACAAGTATTTTAAATGCAGAAATGCAGATAAGAGGAACATAATGTGGTTATTATTAAATCCCACAGACATTTGAAAACAGCAAACATTTCCCTTGCTGTGATCTCACAGAAGGATTTTCTTCCACACAGGATCATCTACCCTTTTTCTTCTCATTTCTCCTTTTACAATGTCGATCTGTGCCAAATCTAGCTACAGAGTTAAAATGCAATGAAGAACAGTCATAATGCCTCTGAGAGAAAAGCCAACACTTCCAGCATGTAAGTGTTTATATAAACAGCTATTCTCAAAACCATATAAACAGCTATTCTCAAAACAATGTTATCCTGTCACATATGTGAGATCTATGTTAAATATTATTAGTTATTAGATGAAACAATGCTTATTTTGAAATTAATAAAACTTTGAATATTCTCCTTCTCCTTACCTTTATTCCTGCCAGAACTATGTTTTTAGCTGAAACAAAGAAGTAACATTATAAACTTCTGATAAAGCCATCTTCTAAAAGTATTTGTTCATATGAAAATAAATATGAATTACAACATTTAAACATGAAGGGCAGTTGGGCAAATTTGAAGAAATTCTGCTGATATAATTTATAATAAGGACCGCTCTGTCATTACAACATTCCTCAAAAAGGCTAATTCACAAGATCTCATTAGCCGTCTACTACTCTATTTGTCAGTCAGGTTCAGCTATTTTCAGTATAGCCTCAACCCAGTGACCGAGACTGAAGGACTTATACCAGGCAGTCTCATGAATTCTTTAACAGGATTTGCAGAAGCTTCTTCCCCAGGTAAAAAGACTGATAAGAAAGTGAAATTCCTGTGAGCAGTTCTCATGGTATAAACAGTTTCTCCCTACCTCATATAAACTAGTATGTATTCTATTTTATATATATGTACCATTTCTATTTCTTAACATAACTACAAGTTTGACCTAATACACAGCAAGTTTAAAATTACAAATTTTAATATACAACATTGTTCTCCACATAAAATATGCAACAAGAAATTCAAATAAATGTTTCCCAACTTACCAATTTCTACCCCAAGCCCACCCATTCCACTTAGGAACACATGAGACTGAGCCATCTTCTGCATCGCAGTGTCTCCAAGAACGTATCTTTGCCGACTACATGCAATTAAGGAAGGAAAACACAGAATAACTATTCGGTGGCATACTTCAATCTGCAGAACCACTTGTGCTTGATAAGGATGATAACAGAACAAATATTTTAATATTCACAATTCACTGAGAAATAATAAAGTTTGGCATTTGGACAGAGGCCAGTATTAGGTATTAGATGTTATACTTAATAAGGCACTGCATATATAACATACTTTTCAGGGCATTTCCCTTCCTCCATTTCTCTCCCTTAAGCAGAACATTGTGAAACGAAAAGGCTGAATTGTTGCACAAAGGTGGGGTGCTTTAACTCAACTGATTTCAATCAGATCTATGTAGTCTTTGTGCAGAATTCAGCCAAAGTAATTTATGGTCCTATGCCAGGAAGACTGGCATTTTTAATTTCCCTTGTTATTTTTGTGCCTACCTGGGGGAAAAGGCCTTTAAGGCAGGGACAATGTCCCTACCCCCTTTTTCCCTGTAGCTTCTAGCTACTATTGATCTGTAATAAATCATTATCATTATTGAGAGTTAACACAATCCAGATAGTTACTCCACTACTCTTTTCCTTCAACCACATAGCCAATAAGAACCAAAGGTCCCAAACTGGCTAATGAACAGTTCTGGAACTGCTTTACTGGATCATACCAAATAGCCATTTTGTTCAGCTCTACTTCTAACAGCAGCCAGTCAGATGCCTCTTGGCAGTTTATGGTCAGCCTGCCCTTTTCCTCAGCATCTGACATTCACAGTTATACTGCTTCTAATCATAGTTTCCATCTAAATATCATTCTAATCCTAAGTAACAGCCTTAAAAGAGACTAAAAATAGACATGCAGTTAGGTGTGTAAGTGTTCAGTGAATCTTAACAAAGGACTATCTAGTTCACAGCTGCTAACTAACTGCCTGTATAAAGTCCCAAGTAGGATGGTATGTGTTGTTTCTATTGAAACAACTGGCATACAGAAGCACACTGCCTCCAATATTGGAGGTAATGTACATTCTTCATAATTAATTGTCTTACTCCTCCATTCTTTTGTCTAACCCTCTTTCAAAGTCATCTGGTTGCCATCACTGCATCTTATCCCATCTTCTCTGCCACAAACTTGCATGTTTCCTCCCCTTCATATATGGTCTTTACACTTTTTGATCTTTCTAGCAATATTTTTTCCCAGAAACAAAAACTGGAACAGAAATGTTTTCAATGCCCTAAACTGACTAGGCATGCTAGTTTTGGTGTTTTATATTTAGTATACAAAACTTTAAAATATGCCATGTTAATTTTGCATGTGGCATAAATACCAGAAAATTATTTTTCCAATAACTTAAAGTATTTGAAATGAAATAAAAGAGCAATATAGTATGCTTAAAAAGATTTCAATATTACACTGAAACATATTCAGAGCTTGTGGATGTTGATTTTATTAGAATATTTGTGCATTTTAAAAATAAGACAATAGCGAGCACATATCCTTTTGTTTAAATACTGGGGTTGGTTCATACTGAGTTGTACTTAGGTATCACAAAAATGACTAATTTTTCACATTGTCTTCAATGATACCAAAGTGCTAATGCAATATTATGCACACTTACCTAAGAGTAAGTCCCAGTGAATTAAATGATAATTAATTGTGAATAGATACAGATAGGTTTGTAGCACAGTTAAGTCTGCATCTAACCTACTAATTTTAGTAAGCTGAAAGATCTATGATTTTATATTTATTATAAATGAATGTTTTACAGAGACATCCACATGACAAAAGTTAATTACAATTTTGTAACCAATTTAACTGATACTGTATCAATTAATTGTTTTACTTATTCATTTTATCAAACAATGCATTTATTTTAGAAATTGAAATTTTTTAAGGTAGAGAGGAATTAGAATTTAAGAGGAAGAAGGCTGCTTATGAGCCCACAGTATACCTTCTATCTCCTCATCAAGGTTAGCAGATCTGCATCTCACTATATAAGCATTGTAGCTAATGAATAAAAGAAGCAATTAAAGAAAGTGCAGGAAAAAATCAGGAAATCCTTTCACACAGCTTTAGAATACCATTCTTAAACTTACTATTAAAGTTGGTCAAGAAAATAAAGGTGATCACACAAGGAACTCTATTTTCCAAATATTACTTGCATTCTCCATTCAAAGCCCCCCAAATCTAAGTTATATCATTTTTATAAAACAAGAAAGTGGGTTACATCAAAGCCTACAACTACTACCTTTATTTTTAAAGGAGTAAATTATCATGACAGCCAGATATGCTCCAGACTAGATCATAAGAAGGAAAGACAAGCATTCACATTTCAATGAACGTAAAGCAAATTCACCCTCAATACTATTAAAACAAGTGTAATATCATCCAATAATTTGATAAAATTCCTACCTGTAAAGAGCATCATCAATTTCCATAGAATCTGCTGCCATGATGATATATTTGTAAGGACTGAAAGAAAAATGAAACAGAGATAGACTATAGCTCACCTTCAGTTTCTCAACTAAGCAAATATAGGAAAGGATATGAACTACATAAGGTTATGTGCAAAAAATGATATAATAGTATTGTAAATTTGATGCACAAAGGAAAACAAATGTAAAACTAAGGCAGTCCTAATTAAATTCCTTTACACAAGCATACCAGCTGTTACTGTTTCTGGAAATCAGAACAGGGTGTTATGTTTTTCCTTTGAAATGTATTGGACATAAAAAAGGACAAAAATGTCAACTAGACATATGCAATGAGCTATACTAGGTACAACTCTGAAATCCTTTACTTACAGTGGTGTTGCACAGAGAAGACACCCATTTATAATGCAGAAAAATGGAAATGCAAACTTTGTTAGGTATAACAACTGTTATTTTTCAAAATCCCACACATACCATCACAAAACAAAGTGGATGCCTCCTTTCCTGAATTTAATATAATAAAAAATTAGCACCTAATAGTATATGAATTAGAGATTTGGGCTTTCAAACCTTAGATTATATCTAGAACAAAATGTTAAGAACTGGGGACCCTCAGATATATCCCAAGAAGTTAAAAATGGAACTTGGACTATTAATATATTTCAGGATACGGCATAGCATTGCTTAGCAAAACTGATGTTATTTGAAATAATCAGGTTTTAGTTCATCAAGGGAAAAATCCTGACATCAAAAAGATAGGTTTACTATAGGAATTTCATTATTCAGTTTAATCTATTGTCTGAATATATCTTCCTGATATTGCAGCTGTATGGAATTTTGGTTGAAAATGGAACAGTTCAGACTGAAGAACTAACACTTTCCAGGCTTTAGTTAAAACCCTCTATAGTCCATGATGGTAGATTAGCTAAGCTACCTTAACATATACACTTTCATCACTGTGGATCCAATAAGGTGGAGAAACTTAAGGAGGAAAACAAATTATTTATTTGTTCTTTCACACAAGATACCTGAGAATAATAACCTTGCTGAGTCCTAAAAAATGAAACAAACTTGTTTAAGTTTGCAGGATGATACATTTTGCTTTTCCATCAGGACACAAAGAATTTTGGGAAGAGTTGCTACTTTTCTAAGGGTGCAATTCTATTGTGATGTTCACAAATCCCTGAACTTGTACAGTCATCTTGTGCAAACAGAGGAATGGAGCAGATAGTCTTCACCTCCCATGCTGCATTTTCATTAAAGGGGTGGGGGGATGCCTATCTAGCTGGGGTGCTACAGAGGAAGGAAAGGAGGATGGAGAAGCTTCAGGATAGTTCATATACTGTTTCTTCCCTTCCCTGCCCCAGCCACCTAAGCATCCCCTTTTCCTCTCTGAGGTTGCTTTCCCAATCTCAAAGAGCAGCAAGCGCAGTTCTTTCCATACCAGTTGTAAGGGAAGTGGGGCTGGAGCTCTGAAGTCAGAGCACTGTCTCCAACTCTGGATTTGGGATCCCAAGGTAACCAATGGCCCCTCCGATGCTGTGAAGAGGCCATGGAATTACTTCCTAATAGCATTATCTAAATCTGTAGCAAGTTTTATAAGCCAGATAGAAAAGTCTGCACTGGAGAAGTCTGATGTTAGCCTTGTATGTTTATCTTTGGTTCATTAGCATATGCTGATCTAAAACATGCAGACCAATCTTATGGAATTTTATCTTTAGATTAAGTTTGTTAGTTCAAATGTATTCATCATTGTCTTTGATTTTAATTTAATTTGTCCATTTTTGTAATACATTCAATATTTTCCTATTATATTATGATACCCTAGGGTTACAAACAGTAAAACCGAACTGTTCAGAAAGTAACCAGTTAAATTTAGATTATAATACAGTACTAATGAATAATCTCATTTTAGCAGGCACACTTTATTTTAAAATGTGTATAACACCTTTCAATTAAATGTTTATTACCCAAGTCTTATCAAAAACTTTAGTATAGTTTAGTGTTAGGCATGCTTCACACATTTTTGTTCACCTGTACTCTGAGCAGTAATTTCACTCACATTATAAGAAATGTGTTTATTTCTGCACATTCACCACTTTCTGGATCATTCCTGGGTTATTTCATGGCATCCAAACCTAAGAACTTTGAATTATTTATGGATTAAACAAACTAGAGTTGACCTAACAACTGGCTTCATCACTCTATAATTCCATGGTGTTCAAATTGTAATCCAGCAAACTCTCAGAAGCATGTTATTGGTTCTTCAATAACATTAAAGGCAAGCTTCTTTGAAAAAAATGCCCTACTCATCACTATCTATTTTGCTCTGCAAAATGCAGATGCAAGAGTATATTGCAGAGTCCAAGCTCATTTCATCTGAGGTGACAGCAAAGCCAAGAATGCACTGCAAGCCATAGGTCAGACAAGATAATATGGAATGTATTATCCAAAGTATTATTTGAATTTCTGGTTGAAATTATGAAAACCAGTAGCATATTTATGGTGGCTAAGTTTGCATGACAAAACAATGCACCCTGCAAATAAGCTATAAATGATCAGGCTCACCATGATGTGTCCTTCTGCCTCAATCCTCCAGGATGTATTCCAGGGGACTGCCTTGTTGACTATCCTCACTTCAGTCATGATGAAATGAGCTTGAACTACACAATATACTCTTTCAGAATACAATTTGAACACCATGATATCTGAATGACTAAGCCAGTTTTTTCAGGTTTGGATAGGTGTATAAAATATGTGGATATTTGTTCTGTGCCTTTACATTTTCTGCCATTTTCCTTCCCTCCTGCCTTTTTTGGGAGACATTTCATGAGCTTCAACATGACAGCTACTGACAATCCCTCCATAGTATCCAAGCAGCACACTGGAGGGGCTGCCAGTTCAATCCCATTTTTTGCAAAACTAAATTTGCACACATTTGCCAGTTTTCTGGAGTTTCACAATTACAGCTCTGAATAGCTGAAACAGGAAAACCAGCCTGCAGTCAAAGTCCTGTGGGTACCAAGAATGGACAATGAACAAGAGAGCCTTAAAAATAAGTTATTATGTTACTTTGTTACAGTTGTCAATACAGAGTTATCAAAGGAAAGTGAAGCCATGAAAGGGGAATGCTGATTTTCCCACACCTTGCAGTGAGAACCTCCATCACCCATCCCGCCCTACCTCCATAAGGCTTTTTGGAAGGGGAAAGCAAGAGTCAGATCAGAGCAGCAGCAGTGTAGTTTCCCCTATAGGTAAACACTTTAGTTTTATTTCTCATTTCTCCCTCAGTGCCCACAGTGTGGGAAACTCTACTGTCCTAACTCCGTGCTGGAAAGATGGACTCAGAAGCAGAAAAGAATGGCGCTCTCTGCACCTGCTGACAGGCACGATTTCTTCTTAATTTGTATCTTTTAAAAAGAAGCGTATTGTAGTACCTTAAAGACTAAACATGGAATACCTTCCCGGCGTTGAGACCAGACACAGAAAACAGATAAGAAGGAGGATTGCATTTCCTTTGCTCTTCCCTCCTTTTTATCGAGGTTTAGATTCTAAGCTCCTCGGAGGTGAGGACCAGATGTCCCTCGAGCATCTCCGTCCAGCTTCACTTCCCTCAGATCGAATGCCCCCGCCGTTTCGCGTTCCATGCTGTCTCTCCCGCACTTTCCCGGTCCTTTCCAGCGAAGAAGGGTATGAAGGCGGCAGGCAGGTTTCCGCGCGCATTACTTCAGACCGGCTTCCATCAAGGAAGGCCCCGCCTGGAAGGCCTGCCTGCCTGCCTGCCTCCTTCAATAGAGGCCCGCGTCGGAAAAGCTGCTGCCTCCGCAGCAGCCGCTTCTTTCTCCGCTGCTCACCTGCTGGGTCCTCCAGTCTCCGCCACTCGCTGCCTCTGCGTTCTTACCGTGGCTGTACCTGGGCGATCCGTAGGCCTAAGAAGAAGGAATGCGGGCAGCAGTACAGGCCGGCTCTGCCTGAGATGAAAAAGCAGGAACAAGCAGCCGCGAAGAGCCGGTATAGGAGGAGGCGGGGATAGGCCGCGCTCCTGACAGGCCAGCTACCCGCCCCGCCCCGGATGGAGGAAGGCCGGGCTTCACTTGAGGCCGACCAATCCCGCCGCCACGACGAAGAGCACCGTATTTCCTTTCCTGGCGGGCGCTCCGGTTTGGTGCGTTTCTCAACCTTCGCTAGTCCGGTAGACGTACAGTTATTTTAATCTTTCCTGTAGTTCTCAGACTAAAGAAAAGTTTTACAATAAAAGTATAATAATGATTTTCCAAAGTACTTCTTGGTTTCGAAAGCACTTCGTTGTATCTCGATAATACTTTCAAACAATTCTCAGCGTCGTTAGGAATTTCTATTATCTCCGCACCTCCAATCTTCGCAAAAGTAACTTAAGACATTGAACACCTTTTCTTCTCAAAAAATTAACGTCAGTCAAAAGACACGCATAAGCGCTGGAAGAGAAACTGCTTGTGCCTACCGGAAACAGAAAGGCCTCCTATGTTTGTCCTTGTCTTGGACAATTAGAGAAAACAAGCAAAAACTAACTGCCTTCTCTCTCAGGTAGCCTTCCCCAATCTGGTAGTTGTGGGCGCGTTGGACTAGAATTTTCAGTACCCCTGAGCCAGCTATGGTAGCTAGGGGATGCCGAAAGAGAAGTCTAGTATGTCTGGAGGGCAGCAGGTAGAAAAGGCTTCTCTAAGAAACTGGCAAGCCACAGCTGGAACCAAGTTTTGCAGTGCTTGTAGTTGCCCAAGTAAGCTTTAACCCTAAGCTTCTCCGAGTATAATTTTTTGATACTTTCTATACGTACGTAAGTTGTAATTCTCTACACATTTAGAAAATAAAAAGTCCTGCAGGTGCTAGCCTGTGCCAAGCCAGCCATATATACTGGATGGAACATACTGGAAGCTCTAGTACTTTTTTCTGCCTAAACCCTAGGATTGACCTAAATGATCAAGGGGCTGCAGCAATTGCCCCATAAGGAATGCATAAGATATTACAAATATGTGTAGAATACTTGCTTCTTTAGAGTGAAATCCAATCGGGATGCCCATAATCCTTTGAATTCAGAGGATTAAAGGCATCCTCTGCATCCTTCCCACACAGCCAGCTTGCAAGGTGGAAGGACCTGGAATCTATTGCGGAAATCCAGAATAACTCCTGGTAGGAAAAGGTTGCTTATATGTGCCTTTGTGATGTAAAAACAAACCTGCACCTCTTTCTCACAAAATATCAGAATTCCAAGCCAGGTTACTGTTTAACATTGCTGTTACTTTAAGATAGAATTCTTAGCTGTACTGAGAAGCTGCTGAAGGCTGATACTATCTATCAGTGGGGAAATACCAGTGTTCCCATAAGCTGCAGACAGCTGAGACAAAGGTGTCCATTTGTTTCTGAATGGACCCATTTAATCATCTAGTCCCACAGAGGCTAGTTGTCAAACCAGTTTTCCTTAATGGTTCCTTCATCAGACACATTTGCATGTTTAAACACAGAGGCTAATGCAAACTGCAAGGAATCTACTAAATTGTCATGTCAATAAAGCAACACTGGCTCCTTCAGCTAGAAAATGGAGATGAGCATCGCCCCCTAGAGTCAGACATGACTGGACTTTAATGTCAAGGGGAAACCTTTACCTTTACCTTTTTAATATACTCATTACCAGTTTTCCTGATTGGTTTAGAACATTATGTCATGTCTAACATATGACATACGTCTCAGTGGTGTTATTGGTGACAGCAACCCAGGTAAACCCTCTGCAGAGTACAAACCTAGAGTAGCGCTACCAGATAGAAGTCTGCAACCAGCTACAAGATTCCAGAACACATACAGAGTGTTTTATAGGTTTTGGGTCATGTATGCAGGAGCAGGACAGATGATGATGAAATAATGGAAACAAAGTCGAAAAGTATGTGAGAGATCTGCAGAGGAGACTTAATGCAATAGTATTGGTGATTACAGAATATTGACATGACCATCAGGAAGACACAGGTCTTGGGCATGGATTTTGACATGTTAATGAGAGTGAGTGCAATACTGTTAGAAAGACTAATCTGACAGCTTTTATCAGCTTTGTTGCTGTTAGCAGAAGAATAGACAAGGGTTAGCTTTCCTTGGGAGCCCTATTCTGCAAAGCCTTTGATAACTAAATGTACCAGCCAGCCCAGATGATTGAAGAGTTCCAGTTTATTAAAAGGTAACTGATAATCCAAGGAAATCTGGTTTGGAATTCTGGTTCTTTCTGGGAAAGAGGAGTAGGGGTACTGCAGGTTAGATTATAAGCAACCCCTATAAAGATTTATTTGGATTTCTCCAACACAAGGAAGAAGCAAAAGTGGGCTCATGCAAAGATGGAAGATGTATGATCTTAAGCAGGATTTTTTTTTCAAAGAGTGACCTCTATTTGGTTTTTTTTAGGCGCAAATACATAACTTGAGCAGAATGCTTCTCAGTCCTTATGGTATTTGTTTTCATATTTAATTGCTATCAGCAGATAAATCAGAAACTACCACAATATGTATATAATATACAGAAAACGATTTTCTGATTAATGTGCAGCAAGAGGTACACAGAACAATGAATGACCAAGGAAAGTAAATGTTTTGTGCTGACAGGTTTCTTCATTCCATTCTAAAGATGAAGGAGTTGCTTCTTCCAAGTTTCTTTCATCCATTTTTCAGTCAACTTGTCCTGTATGATCAGCACAACCAAGCAGACGTTTTTACTTTTCAAATAATCTGGACTGAGAAAGATCATATTTTAGGTTACTTTATCAAATGAAATTCAAGAATAAGTTGTGCTTCTCTGAAATTATCCAGATGCTAAAGAAAATGTTAAGTAGTCTAAAGGCATCACTATGTAAGGCAGTTATTGTGTGTTTGTGTTCATGGAAGTTTGCTGAGCCTTTTCAGAATGTCATCATTCTCTAGGGTCTCTCCCATGTTTTCCAGGTAATTTCAGGGCTTTTTTTTTTTTAAAGATGGGGAAAAGTCACGTATTAAATTTCAAAGGAGAAACAAACTAGAATGATAGTCCTGCATAATCCATCTATATTGCAGCTATACCACATTACCACGTTGGGGTTGGATAACAATTTATATGTATAAAGCCACAGCAACTCCACCACCACCATGTAAAATATGCTTTCCCCCTCTCACAAAGAAAATAGAAGATGCCTTAGAAAAACAGTGAGTTTAATCAAGTATGTAGAGAAGGCCTAGAGCAGGGGTCCTCAAACTTTTTAAACAGGGGGCCAGTTCACTGTCCCTCAGACTGTTGGCGGGAGCGGACTATAGTTTGAAAAAAAATGAACGAATTCCTATGCACACTGCACATGTCTTATTTGTAGTGCAAAAAAACAAGAAAAAACAATACAATATTTAAAATGAAGAACAATTTTAATCAATATAACCTTATTAATATTTCAATGGCAAGTATGGGCCTGCTTTTGGCTAATGAGATGATGACATCCCAGAAACACAATGAGTATAAAACTGATACGATTAGGACCATTTTTGCAGAGAACAGTCATAGGCTCATCATGAGCACAGAGCTTATTTTCATATATGGTAGTGTGACCCACAGGGGATCGCTTTTTGGAAAGCAATGGACAGGCAGTGATGAAGCAATCTGTCACCTCCACACCACCTGTTTTGACTGCCATCTCCAATAGCAGCCAAATGACACTAATAAATCTGCACTCATATCAGTACACATCCATAGAAATACATGACGTGTGGCATCCTACATCAAAATTTGCATTACAATTTATTTTTCATGAGCAAAAACGAGGAGGAGAGATGGAGGGGAGCAACTTCTGAATCTGCTAAAAATTATGATTTTTTATTAAAAATATAAAACGGCTTTAAAAAAAGAGAAGCTCACTGAATATCCACTAGGTCCTGCAACCCAAGTCCATCTCTACAAATTATGTCTCTGCATATAGTTTGTAAAGATGGACTCGGGTTGCAGGACTTAGTGAATATTCAGTGAGTTTCTCTCCTTTTTAAAACCTATTATATTTTTTTAATTAAAAAATATTTGCTCCACTCGCTCGGGCTGCAGCAGAAGCCCAAGATAATGCCATACCACCCGCTGAAAGGGAGAGCATGACATGAGGGGGAGCCATGAGGGTGCACTCACCTCAGTTGAAGCCTTCCCAGCTTCTCACAACCACCCTGGTTCTGAGCCAGAGGAAGATCCCCTCGCAGGCGCTCACCTGGCTCCAGGAGGGGGAGCGGGAGGCTAGAGAGGGGGCCATGAGGAGGGAGGTAATGGCTGCTTTCCATGGGCTGAGGTGAGGGAAGGGGAGGGATGGGGCTGCGGCCAGCCGAGCGGGGCACCTCCTGCCTCTCCCCGCCATGAAGGGAAGAAGCATGCAGGCCATTCGACATCAGTTTGCCCTGAGAAGGCCATGGCAGAGGTGCAGGAGCCATGGCCCTGCTCTGCCTCTACCTGTCCGCCCACGGGCTCAGTGAGGCAGCCGCGGCTTGGTCCACAGCCTGGGACATGGCTCATATTTTTGTGGTTTAAAAAAATGGATTAACCTTATTACATTGGGCATTACAGGGAAATTTGATTATATTTTTCTTACTTTCTATCTTTTTTAGTGTCTTCGTCTCTCTTTCTTCCCACCGTCCTCCTCTCTTATGTATTCCCGTTCCGTATTCCCGCTCTGTATTCGGAGCCAACGCATGCATGCAATAGGGGGAAGAGCTGGCAGGTGCACAATTCATGCTGGCAAGATCAGCGGGGCAGCAGGAGCTAGCCAGTGCTAGCAGAGAGCGCTGGCGCACATGCAGTTGAAGGGAGCTATTACAATTTGGTGCATGCACCAGCTCTCTGCTAGTCTCCAAAACTGAAAGAGTTTCAGAGTACACCTGCACTGGCTTAGAGCTTTTGGACTTGTTCAGAGATCATTTTCTCTGAATGAGTCCAAGAGCTCTGAGGCAGGCTGGGTAAATGACTCCACGGGCTGTAGTTTGAGGACCCCTGCCCTAGAGCAAAGAAAACAAGCATTCATTCCCTCCAACTCAGCTGATGCCAACAATATTGCTCCATCCAGTTTTTGCCCATAGCACTGAGAATTTTAGGGTGAGGACCAATATAAGACTTTTAGAATAGCAGGACAATTTTGAAAGCATGTTCGGTACTTTCAGTATAAATGTATCTATTCCTGTCCAGAATTTAACATTGAAAAGACCAGATCTACAAGATTGTAGCTGAAGCCAACTATGTACAGTGCTGATTGTTGACATACATGATATAATCAAGAAAAATTATCCAAAAGTGACCAAAAACTGTGCACAGTACACCTGAAACTATGGGGGAAGAGGCAAGTATATTTGATTTGGCATGCATGTTGTAATTTTATGGCAAAGACAAGAAGTGAGATTTGCAAATTTTGTGATTTTCATACTAAGTCTACTAAGAGTGTGTGTGCATAACCCTTAACTTCTTTTTAATGTTTTTCTTATGCCTTTACATTGATCCCTCTCTCTTAATCCACACCCCCCACCTCAAGTTTCAGTTTGAATAGTGATGAAGGTGCGCAGGAGCTGAAAGACAGAGAATACAAACAGAATTTTATCTTCAAGAAAAGATGTTGCAGATATGGCTGTGCTTAGAATGCCAGCAAGAAATTATCAGAATTCTGGAAAAAATGTAATTTCCTGTCACTGCTGACTGGAAGTGTCCAAAGTTCTTACTGTAATGTTCATAATATAGTAGTGTAATTGCTGCAGGAAAAGCAATTGTTTACACATTTATGGATATAGAAATTCAGTAATGGTACTGCACAATAACATTATGGCTAACAGCCTTATCTGTATTTCTCTGCAGTAAAAGGCTGCTGTTTTCTGTTTTCTTTTAGCTACAGGAATGATAATTTGCTGATTCTCTAGAGATTTATATTTTGTAAATATAAGGTAGATACTTTCAAATGAATACATTATACTTTTGTGAAAGTTACAAACAAGTATGACCTGCATACTATATTTGTAGCATAAAACACATGCAACCTTTGCATTAGAGCCCAGTATACTTAGTAATCCAGTCCCGAAAGTAAGTCACTCTTGTGTAGACTCCTGGCTTATTTGGTTTAGCACACTCATCCCCCCAGCTCACAATGCCAACAAGATACCACATGCTTCTTGTATCAGGTGTAACCAATGGGCCTCCAGAGTCACCCTAGAAGAAGAAAAATGTAATTTTAAGCATCAAAAACAAGAAATTTTTCTTTCAGTGGCAGCAAAAGACTATTTTAAGGGGCAACATTAAGTTACAAACTCTTGAATTTAAGTCAATGTTAAAAGCAGCCTCAGGCACTTGCAATAGTTTTCACCTTGAGCCAGGAACGACACTGCACAATTACTCTGTGTGCTTTCATTGCTTCATCAGGAACTGAGCACACACAAGAACATTCAATTCCAAAGCTGGATCCTTATATAAACAGTGTTTGGCTTTTTACAATGGATAAGGAATCCTGTATAAGTGCTTAATACCAGTGTATGAGTGGGCAGCATAGCATGTGCCCACTCCACACATACTAATGAGGGCTGAGATTGGATTCAAGCCCCACCCCCCTCAAAACAAATAAACCAGTGTGATAAGTTTTGGTAGAGCCAATCATCCCTGGGGTGTCAGGTGCATGCAGACACACATGAATAAGAATGTTCAGGCAATTCACTAGTTCATGTGTGTGTGTTTCCATCAGAAGCTGTGAGAAAATGCTACAAACTAGAGGTGGGATATGTTTATACATACATTTTTATAGGAAACTTTAGTCAAAGAGTGGTTATATATACTATTTATTTAATTTCTCTATCACCCAACAACCAAAGCTGTCTGGGTAGTTACAACAGGGTTTACAACATTAGTAAAAGCAAGGTTTATGATTTTTTAAAAATGTCCAGTTAAAAACAAAAACTCAAAAATGTAGCAATAGCATGCTGGAGAGGCCAAAGGCCTATCTAAACAAAAAAGTCTTTCACATGTTGGCAGAGAGCTGGAGAAGGAGTTGCAGAGTCTGGACACAGCCTCTCAGAAGGGCCATTCCTGCTCACCCACCGCACATACACCATCCCAAATGTACCATAAATGGTGGTAAGGCATAAAGATTACCTTTATATATAAATAAATTTATAAATAAAGATTATTGCTGCCAAAGATCTGAAAATATGTTTACTGGTTATATATTCTGTGGTCCAATGTAATGAAATAAAATAACCATGGGCAAGCAAGTATGTTTTCCATTTTTTCAACAGGAAAATATACATGATTATACTTCTGCTTTATTCAATAGGGATAAAGAATGTATTGCCTTAAAGTGGGTAGTGTTGGGAAAATTCAGATAAATCCTGGTAGAAAAGCATTGCTTATATGTGCCTTTGTGTTATAAAATCAAACCTGCACCTTTCTTACAAGCAGCAGAATTCCAAGCCAGGCTACTGTTTAGCATTGCTGTTGCCTTCAGAAGATGGCATTCTTAGCTGGACTGAGAAGCTGTTGGAGGCTAACAGCTGTGTTCTCAACAGCTGCAGAAAAACTGAAACAATGGCATCCATTTGTTTCTGAATGAACCAACCAAAACATCTAGTCCCACTGAGGCAAGCCTCTCAGGAGTGTAGTTGTCAAACCACAATGGTTCCTCCATCAGACATATTTGCATGTTTAAAGACATATACCAGCTGACCTGGTCAAGAATCCCTCAGAAGAAATGGAGTAGCCTTCATAGTCAATAAAAGAGTAAGAAAAGCAGTAATGGAATACAATCTCCAAAATTACAGAATGATCTCAGTTCAAATCCAAGGCAAACCATACACCATCACAGTAGTCCAAGTCTATGTCCCAGCCACTGGTGCTGAAGAGGCTGAAGTTGACCGGTTCTATGAAGGCCTACAACACCTTCTAGAATTAACACCAAAAAATGATGTCCTTATCATCATGGGTGATTGGAATGCTAAAGTAGGAGGCCAAAAGATAACTGGAATAACGGGCAAATTTGGTCTTGAAGTACAAAATGAAGCAGGGCAAAGGCTAGCAGAATTTTGCCAAGAGAACACGATGATCATAGCAACACTCTTTTCCAACAACACAAGAGATAACGCTGCACATGGATATCACAACATTGTCAATACAGAAATCAGATTGACTATGTGCTGTGCAGCCAAAGATGGAGAGGCTCTATACAGTCAGTAAAAACAAGACCAGGAGCTGACTGTGGCTCAGATCATGAGTTCCTTGTTGCAAAAATTAGGCTTAAATTGAAGAAAGTAGGGAAAAGCACTAGGCCACTCAGGTATGACCTAAATCATGTCCCTGATGAATATACAGTAGAGGTGACAAATAGATTTAAGGAATTAGATCTGATAGATAGAGTGCCTGCTAAAACCATCCCAAAGAAAAAGAAATGCAAGAAAGCAAAATGGCTGTCTGAGGAAGCTTTACAAATAGCTGAGGAAAAAAGGGGAGCAAAAGACAAGGGAGAAAGAGAAAGATAAACCCAATTGAATGCAGCATTGCAGAGAATAGCTAGAAGAGATAAAGTTGCCTTCTTAAGTGTAAAGAAATAGAAGAAGACAATAGAATAGGAAAGCCTAGAGATCTCTTCAAGAAAATTGAAGATATGATGGGAACATTTCATGCAAAGATGGGCATGGTAAAGGACCAAAGTGGCAAGTGTTGGGAAAATTTGGATAAATCCTTTCTGAAAAGCATTACTCCTGTGTGCCTTTGCATTGTGGGATCAAATCCTGTACTCCTTCTCAAAACCAAGCTAAGTCACTGTTTAAAATGGCATTGGAATTCAGTTTACCAGGAAGTATCTTCCTAGCCTAGAGGGCTTCATGTGCCCTGGTCATTCAGAATGTCTAGAGTCTAGATAAGGGTCTGAGCTTATCATGAATACTTTCTCAGTAGCTTGAATGTACATGTCTAAGCAGACCTGGAGATGGGTTCAAGTTACTCATCTAAAGTGTCAATACACTGCAATTAGAAATATTGTAATCTCATTGTTTCTGTATGATTGACTGACATTCCTTTATCTGTTCTGTATGTGATGACCTCAGAATCTTATTTTAATGTCTGCATTCTGTCATCACTTGCCCTGTACCTGTGTACCTATAAATGCCCTGTAATGGTATTGAAGCTTGGCAGCAGCAGTTTACCTCTGCTTGCCCGATAATGCATTATCGTGAGTGTACTACGGGAACCTGGGTAATACAATAAAGCCTAGATGGTCTGGACACTTGATCTTTCCCACGAACCCGAGTTTTATTTCCTCTTCTCAAATTGAGATTCTGGGATTCTGACACAGGGACCTAACAGAGGCAGAAGAGATTAAGAAGAGATGGCAAGATTACACAGAACTATACAAGAAAGACCTTAATGTCCCTGATAACCATGATGCAGTGGTCGCTGACCTCGAACCAGACATCCTGAAATGTGAAGTCAAGTGGGCCTTAGGAAGTATTAGCAACAGAGCTAGTGAGCTATTCAAAATCCTAAAAGACAATGCAATTAAAGAGCTACACTCAATATGCCAGCGAATTTGAAAAACTCAACAGTGGCCACAGGATTGGAATGTTCAAACTACCACACCATTGCATTTATTTCACATGACAGCAAAGTTATGCTCAAAATCCTACAAGCTAGGCTCCAGCAGTATGTGGACCAAGAACTACCAGAAGTGCAGGCACGATTTCAAAGAGGCAGAGGAACTAGAGATCAAACTGCCAACATACGCTGGATCATGGAGAAAGCTAGGGAGTTCCAGAAAAACATCTACTTCTGCTTCACTGACTATGCTAAAGTCTTTGATTGTGTGGATCACAACAAATTGTGGCAAGTTCTTAAAGAGATGGGAGTACCAGACCATCTTATTTGTCTCTTGAGAAACCTATATGCGGGTCAAGAAGCAACAGTGAGAACTGGACATGGAACCACTAATTGGTTCAAAATTGAGAAAGGAGTTTGGCAAGGCTGTATACTGTTGCCCTGCCTATTTAACTTACATCCAGAGCACATCATGAGAAAGGCAGGGCTAGATGAATCACAAGCTGGAATTAAGATTGCTGGGAGAAATATCAACAACCACAGATATGCAGATGATACCATTCTAATGGCAGAAAGTGAAGAGGAACTAAAGAGCCTCTTGATGCGGGTGAAGGAGGAGAGTGCAAAAGTTGGATTGAACCTCAACATTAAGAAAACTAAGATCATGGCATCCGGTCCTATCACTTCCTGGCAAATGGATGGGGAAGAAATGGAGGTAGTGACAGATTTTATTTTCCTGGGCTCTAAGATCACCGTAGACAGTGACTGCAGCCAAGAAATTAAAAGACACTTGCTCCTTGCGAGGAAAGCTATGGCAAATCTAGACAGCATACTAAAAAGCAGCGACATCACCCTGCCAACAAAAGTGTGTATAGTCAAGGCTATGGTTTTCCCAGTTGCAATGTATGGCTATGAAAGGTGGACCATAAGGAAGGCTGAGTGCTGGAGAACTGAGGCCTTTGAATTGTGGTGCTGGAGGAGACTCCTGCGAGTCTCTTGGACCGCAAGGAGATCAAACCAGTCAGTCTTAGATGAGATCAACCCTGACTTGCTGTTTAGAAGGCCAGATACTGAAGATGAAACTCAAATACTTTGGCCACCTAATGAGAAGGAAGGACTCAATGGAGAAGACCCTAATGCTGGGAATAATTGATGGGAAAAGAAGAAGGGGACAGCAGAGAATGTGGTGGCTAGATGGAGTTACTGAAGCAGTCAGTGTGAGCTTGGGTGGACTCTGGGGAATGGTGGAGGACAGAAGATCCTGGAGGAATGCTGTCCATGGGGTTTTGATGGGTTGGACACAACTTTGCAACTAACATAACCTAACATTGGTATATGTGACTAGCAGGTTAGAAAATGTGTGTACATGGACTGTGATTTTGTAGTTGAATTAGCCTCTACCCAGTAATGCACTATTGTTAGTGATCGCAGGTACTGGGGCACTGATCAATAAAGTCAGAGAGGTTCAAACGTTTGATCTTTCCCACAGACCCAAGTGTTCATTTCCTCACACTTTGAAAATTGAGATTCTGTCAGTAGACAGAAAAACGTCTGTGTTTGTATCTGGTGGGTTTAGTTTTAGCATTTCCAGTATAAAAGACAGAGACCAGGTGTAGAAGAACTTGGGCAAAAGGGTGCTGTTAAACTCCTATCCCATTTGTGGGGATCCTTTGGGCAGATGTTTTCCAACAGTGTGAACAGAATGCTGGACTGGATTGACCCTTGGTCAGATTCAGCATGGCTCTTCTGTTCATTTCTTTAAAAGATATCATTGTATGATATGGACAGGCAAGGGAAGGAAAAATGTAGAGAGAAATGAAGAGACAAATGGTAAAACATAGGTAGAAAATGAAAATTGGAGTTCTATACATTTTTCCTGGGAGAAAGTCTCATTTAACTTAATGGAGATTAGTTCTGTATAGATATTCATAATTTTGTACTATTAGAAGAAAAAATCAAAAGAGAAGGAGGAATAAAAGACAGAAAGGAAAGCTAGAGGACAGGGCCTAGCTCACAAACTACAAGAAAGAATGTCCCAAATAGTATTGTTGCTGAAGCTGGCAGAAAGGCACAAATATTTGGCTCTGACTTCTGTGCTGCTTTTTGCTGTCCTACCATGATTCAGGCACTTTAAAAAGATGTCAGGTGCCTGGCCTGTTCATGTAGTTAAACACTGGTTCAGTACCACTGGCTTTCTTTTAATCTAATTTGATGTATTACTGTGGGCAGGGTAAGAATGGCTTTATAATTGTTGCATGGTATAGTCCAGAGCTGGCCAAACTGAGGCTCAGGAGCCATGTGCACCTCTCTGAGAGTATTTTTTGCAGTTCTCCACTTGCTGCTGCAAGTGCCCATGGGTGCCCACTTGCTGCTTGCCATCCCCTGCCACCACCTTCCACAGGCGCTTCTTGCCACTTGGTCCCTGCTTGTGGTTCTCAAACCTCTGACATATACTGTATGTGGCTTTTCTATTGAGCAAGTCTCAACACCCCTAGTATAGTAAGTTAGCATTCTGTAGAGTGGGTATCATTTGAAGACAGGAAGAAAGGATTACTCAGGAGTTCTGAGGACATGTGAGCCAAAACAGATGAGTGGGATCTACAACAGGTTCCTAATGAAAGGAATGTAATTTTCAATGCAGCATTACATATTAAAATGTGGTGTTTTAAAATATATCATTGATAATAGGGATCCTGAGAGTAATTATTAAATTTTAAATCAATTTTCTATTGCACTGTTTGAATGATGTTCACATATTTGAAGATTTTACCTCATCTGGAATATTCCACACTAGGTAAAAGTAGGTGCATATAACCTGCTTTACCACAGGCAGTATCACAATCTGCATTTATGTGTGTGTGGGAGGAAGACAGTAAAACACAGTCCTCACTATGGGTTGTACTGTGTTATTTAAGAAAATATTTGGAATAAGTTTCTACTAAGAATGAACCAAAACTTTCCATTTTTCAAAGCTGCCACTGTCAATTTTGCAAAGTTCTTGGCACCCAATAGCCACCATTTTTCTCTCAAATGTTCTCTTGGAATAATGCTACTCCATTCCTTCGAGATGGATTCTCTTTGGACGATGTGATGGTGTTTCTGCTTGCTGTCATCAATAAGGTTATCCAAGTTTTGTCACCCAGGAATTAGATTATGAACACAACTTCAGCCAACAGAGTTTAGTTTCTCATGGCAATAACAACACCAAATTTTAAAAGCTCTCTCTCTCTCTCTTTGGTTTTTTGTTTACTTTGGTTGTTCTAGCATAAGAGCAAAACTATATTGTGGGTTGCAATCATTGTAGCTGCTGAATACTACATGGGTTTCAGACTGTTACTCTGTGGGGCCTCCTTCTCATTTATTTCTTTATTTACTGTCTTTATTATTCTTTGTACTTTGATACTTTATTATGGCCAATGGCTGAAACCAACTTTACTGTTGAAACTCCAGAAGATATCCTCCTCCCACCTCCAGTATTAGGTGTGACAGAGCTATAAGATTCCTATCTTAAATGGTGGAAGTATGGTAGCAAGTATCATAACTGCAAAAAATAGTGCATGTAGGGATTGTAGAGAGGAAAATGGAGTTGGAAGGAACCAAAAGTCAGATGGAGATAAGACAGGAAGAAAGCTTTGCAAGATAACAGTCCTTACTTCTAATTAAGTGGATAGTAGTCCATGAACACATACCTTAAATTAACACAGTTATTAAGAGATACCACAAGATTCTTAGTTATTGCATTTATACAGAATGGACCTCAGTGTAGAAAGCTAGTATGAGCTGAGGCCTAGAAATGACCAGGAAAGGAAACACACACTCAGGACTCTTAGTAGTAAGGGCCTCAGCATCAAAAGGGGCCCTTGAGGAGGAATTTCAAACATTTAAAGCTGGAAAGAAAGTTTTCATTGCACACATTCTCCTTACATCAGCCCTATTTATTGAAGATTAATTTTGCAAGATGAGATTAATCATACCTGGCAGGAATCTACTCCTCCTTCCAGGTACCCAGCACACAGCATTCCAGGTGCTATGGCCCCGTTGTACACTTCTCTTCTATTGCAAGTATAGGAGTCTATGAGCTTTACTGTTGCTTCCTGAAGAACATTCGGGGTTTCACCTAAACAGAAAAAACCCTTTAGTACTTCCATTTATGTGCTGTAGCCTAAACATAGAAAAAAACCTCAGACAGGTGCCATTTTAAATAAACCACAATAAATCTGAATAAAGATACAACAAGTACAGTAGCAGCGATAGTAAACCTTCCTCTACTAAGAGTAATGGCAGCAGGTAGGGACATATGTGTTTGTGTATTCAGCTGGTATGCTTGCAAACCTCTAGATTGGGATCAGGACCATGTGTTTTACAATCTGGTTAGAAGTTCTATCAATAATGACTCCTTTTAGGGTTCGTTGAAAATGCTATCACTTCATAATTTGTAGCAAATTATGGGGATGTTGCCACAAGCACAAAAATAAGGACTGTAAACATGTAGAAGGAAGGATGCTAATTCAATTACTCATTCTAAGAAAATCAACTGGTTTGTACCATTCAGCATAATCGCTGCAACCCACCCTAACTTATTCAAACCATGGAAGTTTGCAGCATGTGCTGACAGCCATTTAGAATATATATCACCTAACTGGGGTTTGCCACAGTTTGTCATGTCATCCAGACCTCTGCAGCAGAGCTTGTTCCAAGGTTAAACAATCCCCAAATAAACCATGATTTTGTAATAACAATAATCACATAATGGGATATTGAAAATTGCCACTGGTAGGCAGCAAAACCCTCCATGGCTTCCATAAGTTGCAGTGGAATGTGGTGATCATGAAAACCTATGTCTTCTTTCTTTTGGGGGAATTTGATGCAACTTTGAGGCTGAGATGGTTGAGGAGAAGATAATCATCTGCATCATGGTGGTTCCTGACTCCTGCACTAGACAGGCCTGCACTAGCTCAGCTTAAAGTCTTTTGATTTCTAAGAGGTCCATCTGGTGCTGATATTATATGCTTTCTGCAGCCAGGACCTTCTAATTTACCCAGTATTTTAAAGTTTAAATTTTTAATTATTTTTCTATTACAGTCGTGTGTTATTAGTATTATTATTATGTTTAGGTTATTATGATATTTTTATAACATTGTATTTATCGAATGACTGTTGTAAGCTGTCCAGAGACACGTAGTGATTGAACGGGTTAGAAATGCTCAATAAATAAATAAATAAATAAATAAATAAATAAATAAATAAATAAATAAATAAGAGACAGTTGAAGGAAAGTTTCATATCAGCTGATTGCTGATTAACTGAAGGGGAGTGGCCTGATCAGCTAGCAGCAGTTATGTGGGTGGAGTGATTCATTCTGGTTCCTTACTCCTAACAGAGCAGAGCAGAGCAAGCTGCCCCAGCTGGTCTAGCACCTCTGGGATACAAGCAGCCAAGGTCCCAGGGAGAGCAAAGAGGAGTTCAGCAGGGGAGGTCCCTAGTATCCCCCCATTTGTTTCTATTCTTTATTTCACCTTAATTACCCCACCCCCTGCATGCGGTGGCACAAAAAATGCATCACACTGGTGGCCTGCAACAACTGCAACAGCTGCTCACTGTTGGGCCCCACCCACCTGGCAGGATTGGTGTGGCAGGAGGCTATCAGTTGTGTATTGGGGTCAGCACAATAGAGCACAATAGGGGACTTATCAGCCGCCCCAGGCATATACAGAGTGTTCTTCAAAGGATAGGCTAGCTGCAAGCCGCTCCACTTTTGTATCAAAATATGGACTAACCGCAAAACCGTCTCGCCTCGGTATCATGCCAGCTCGCTTGCGTAGGCTGTCAAAAACAATTCTCCCTTTGTTTGTAACAAGGTATAAATACTCCGTTGTCCCTCTAAAGGGTGCGGCACCCATCCCGTCCTTGTGGGAGAGTGTCGTCCCTATAGGAAATAAAAAAACCTTCTCTTAAAAATACCAACTGGTCTCTAATCTCATCTGTAAAACCGTGGGACATAACACTCACTAGTACCCCTATTTACAGGAAAAGGTGAGAGCATTGGAGCAGCGAGTATCCACCCTTCGAACAATAAAAGAAAGGGAAGGGTTTCTGGAGAGAGTGGAGGAGCTGCAACAGGTAAGTGTAGTCCAGAAGCAAGAAGAGCATCAGCAAGCTGAGGTAGCAGAGGAGAAGCCTGAGTGAAGAGAAAATAAGGAAACTTGCTGAAACAGGGTGTCAGACGCAGATGACCAAGAAAACACTCTGCACTAGTGGAAGCAGTGGAAGTCTCAAACCGCTTCAAGTCACTTGAGGAAGGGACATGTGAAAAAGCCACTGTGAAAGAACTACACGACACACTGGGTAACTCTGAAAAAGAGACAAAAGGCCAATCAAGCAAGGAAAGGGATAGCAAAGTTTGCAACAAAAGGAGAAGAGTGCTGGTAGTGAGAGATTACCACTTGCACAGGATGGAAAAATATGTATGTTGTGATGACTCAGAGAATCGCCAAGTATGCTTTCTCCCTGGGTAAAGATATAACCAGCAAGTTAACATAACCCTTGCAACCCATTGACAAATACCCCTCCCTTCTCTTCCACGTGGGAAGTAATGACATTGCCACAAGAAGTTTCACTGAAATAACTTTGAAGCTCTAGGGAGGAAAATAAAAAACACTGGGGCCCAGATAGTCTTCTCCTCAATCCTTCCAGTATATGGAAGAGGAAATGTTAGGGAAAGAAAAATCCTTCAAGTGAATGATGATGGTGGTGCCGTAAAGAGAGATTTGGATTCTGGGACCACAAGCTAAGCTTCCTGGAAGATGGACTATTGGCAAATGATGGGCTACACCTCACAAAGAACAGGAAGCAGATGTTTAGACACTACATGAAAAATTTCATCAGGAAAGCTTTAAACTAAAACCTATAGGGGAGGGAGATGTGCAGCATGGCATACCATCACCTGGCAAAGACTTATATATTTCAACAGAGAAAAAACCTCAAGCAGGGCCTAACACCAGTCTCCCAAAAAACGTAGGAAGAAAACCAAGGACATAACCAGAATGAACTTGAATATCTCTATACCAGTGCCCAGAGTATAGGAAGGAAACAACACGAACTTCAGCTCATACTACATGAGGGCAATTACAATCTTATAGGAGTAATGGAAACTTGGTGGGATGACTCACATGAGTGGAACTCTACAATTGATAGATGTAACCTGTTCAAGAAAAATAGAAAGGACAAAAAAGGAGGTGCAGTGGCACTATATGTAAGAGACGCATATATCTGCACAGAAATAGAGGAAGAGAAACTTAGTAGCTCCACTGAAAGCATCTGGCTAAATTTAAAGGGAATAAAAAATAAGCACAGCATAGCTATTGCCATCTGTTACCGACCATCCAGTCAAAAAGAGGACAAGGATGCAACCTTCGAAAAGCCACTTGCCAGCATTTCCAAGAAGAATGATGTAGTCATCATGGGGGACTTCAATTTCCCTGATATATGCTGGGAGACAAATTCTGCCAAGCATGGTCCCTCCAAGAGATTCCTGACATGTGTTGCCAACAACTTTCTCCAGCAGAAAATAGAGGAAGGTACGAGAGGATCAGCTATCCTTGATTTAATACTAACTAACAGGGATGGCCTGGTGGACAAAATAACAGCCATGGGAACTCTGGGGGAAAGTGAGCATGTGATACTTGAATTCTCAATTATGAAGGAGAGAAAGGGTAACTGGAGCCCAACAAGCATCCTGGACTTGAAGAAAGCCAACTTTAACAAACTCAGAAAAATGATAAACAAAGTGCCAATAGGCTAAACATGAGCCAACAATGTGATGCAGCCACCAAAACATTAATGCTATTTTAGGATGCATTAACAGAAATATTACTTCCAAATCACAAGAAGCAGCAGGTCCTCTATAGTCCTCACTAGTCAGACCTCATCTGGAATACTGTGTCCTGTTCTGGCACCAAGATTTAAGAAAGATGCAGGAAAATTAGAAAGGGTCCAGAGGAGGGCAACAAAAATAATCCAGGTTTCAGAAACACTGCCTTATGAGGAGAGACTGAGAGAATTGGGCATGTTCAGGCTTGAGAAGAGAAGACTTGAGGGGGGACATTATATCCTTCTATAAGTACTTCAAAGGCTGTCACAAAGAGGAAGGTCAAGATCTCTTCTTGCTGATGCCAGAGTGTAGGACATGGAATACTCACGTCAAGCTGTGACAACCCAGATTCAGGCTGGACATCAGGAACAGCTTGCTCATTGTCAGAGCAATATGACAGTGGAACCAGCTATATAGAGGGGTGGTGGGCTCTCCCACAATAGAGACCTTCAAAAAGAAACTGGACAGCCATCTGAGTGGGATGGTGTAACGTGGTGTCTTGCAACAGCAGGGGCTTGGACTCAATGGCCTTCATGGCCCCTTCCAACTCTCACACTCAAACCTCTACATGCACACAGACAGGAGTAAATCAGTACTGCAGCTTTTTTCCTGAATTCCAAGCCTGTTATTCCTACTAGCTTCTGATAATGTTGAACTTCATAGTCTTTTCTATCATTAAACAGAGGGAGGCAGGTGTAACAAAGGACAGGTTAAGGGTTCCTTGGGGCAGGAAGGGTTAACACTGGGTATTGAGGCCCAGCACCTCCAGCCAAGTGGTGATTTAAGGAAAACCAGGTGCAAGGCCTCAAGAATGATGGGAATGTAAATCCCACTGCTATCAAGCAGGGATGGGAATGTAAAAAGCCCTAAGTAACTATAAATTACTTTCACCACTCCAGCCCAACCCCAAGGCTAGAGATTTCAGGCCTTAAGAGTATATGATTCTCACCTGGGTAATGTCAGAAGATGTCACCCCATGAGTCTTCTGTTTAATCTAATGGTATAAAAGCAGGGAGCTGGAACAGATTGGGGTTTCTCTTTGAGGAGAAGTTCTCTGGTGCTGCTGGAGGCTCTGCTGAAAAATGCTGTGCTATTCTACAAGGAAGAAGGCTATGTTGGGTGCAGTATCCTTTATTAGCAGTAGGAGTGGCTATCTTTGTTATTTTTAGGCCAGGGAGGCCGCTGGTCTGGGGGCCAGCCAAACAGTGTGTCCAGTAAAATTGCTGCTCTCCAAGTCCCTGTTCCCTTACCTACCCTCATTGTTGTGTGTCTTGTATGTTGTAGTTTTTTAAGACCCTCTACCCCTATATTGTCTATTTTGTCTTTTAATAAATCTGTTTTTCCCCATGCTTGGCTTGTTGTGTGCTGAATCCGGTGTCTGGTCCCAGGATTTGGGAGCCCAGGGAAGCAGGGTAAGAGACTGAACCCTGCCAGCCACTGGGAGGTGGGGACTCAGGGGTGGCTGATTGTTACAGCAGGTAATTTGGGGTTTCTTAAAAAGGGCAGCAAATGGTTAGCTGCTGATGATGATTTTTATTCTTGTTATTGTAGTTCTACTGTCAGAGACAAGGTGATTGTTTGCCCCAATTGGCAACATAACTTGACCAGGTAGATTGATTTGGAAGGGGTTTCACTTACTTCTTAGGCAGTCAAACCTTGGGATGGCCCTGTCCTTTCTTCAGATCCTGGTTTGACTCCTATAAGCCACTCCTTTTAGTATTTGCCTTTCTAGCTTCCACTATTTTCCTTTAAACTTTCATTCCAATCCTCAGTGTTCACTCTCTCACACAAACTTTATATCCTTCTGCAATTGCCATTTTCTTCCTTATCCAGCATTCTCTATCTCTATAGCAACCTGCAGCTCTCAGCAGACTGTTATGTGTTCTGGTTCTGCCTCCTAGCTGGGTGCTCCAGTACAAGTTGGCTAATCAAAACAAAATCACCATCTCAAATTGTCTTATCAATAACTTTGTAAGCTGTCCTGAGCGCTTGGTGATAGGACGAGATATAAATGCCTGTAATAAATAAATACATAAATAAAACTAAATTGAAAAAATTCTATACTCTTCTAAGTGGATGCACTTACCATCATTACTAAGTGCTCCCCATCCTGTAATAACAGCATCTATATTATATGGAATAATATCATTTGAGTTTGGAAGGCAAACCCGATGAACAGCACTCGTAAACTCCACACCTTTAGCCAGCTGCACAACAGCAATGTCATATTCATGGGCTGGATACTCGTACTTTTCATGAACTATAATGCTCTTGACAAGCCGTACAATTAGAGGAGGGCTCAAATAAGTTCCAAAGGATACCGTCCACTTATTTGGATTTTTTGCCCTGAAAAAAGTCAAGAGATCATAGTGAGTCACAACATTACTGAACTTGTTCATATCTGAATCCCCAACAATGCCATTTTGATAGAGAAGCATTTGGTATACTCTCCACAACAGAAAGGCATTCCAGCACCTGTGAAACCTATTGCAATGTACCAGTTGGCATTATTCTGCTTTTCTGTTTTCCTTTTTAGTAGAGAAAGTAACATCCTACTACTAGTTACTATTGTCAGAAGACCTGGGTAGTACATTAGCAGTGTTTAGTGAAGACCCAAAAACCAATCAGGATCTGATGTGGGCAGGACATACACTTTTCAGGAGAGGTCTTATTTCCCTGCACATGCTGCCACTTATCCCTCTCCCTACTAATCTCTGTCACCATGGCTCTACTGATCCTTCACCACAGCACTCATGTTCCCAATCCATGTGTGCAACATGATGCAAATATGGGGGGAAAGGCTCTTGCAGAAGGCCTTTTGAAGGCAAGAGGAGAGTTTCTTAACTCTTTGCCTGTCCTCTAGTGCTTCCCTGCAATTTCCATCTCTAAACTAGGGATGTATGGCTGGTGGGAGAGAAGCAAAGGAATGGGACTGAGGGCCACCATGGAAAACTAGATCAATCAACTTATTTTCTAATAGATACATTGTTCAAAGACATAAAACTGGAGTAAAACGGGGGGTAAAAACTAAACAAAACCTGTACTCCTGTTGTTGCACTTCAGCTTTGTCAGCTGGCATTTAGGTCATCCTTTCTTAACAGAATGTAAGGGATAAGGAGGACCCCAGAAGGACCTTTGCTTGCCGTAAGCACAGCTATCATCCCAAGGACACTCTTTTTGTCACAAAGATGAAAGGCCCACTCAGGCTGTCCCTTTGCAAGTATCACCATTTCCATGCCTGTGGGTGTTGCCCAGTTTACAAAGTAGTGATGCCACAGCCTTGATGCAGTCGGGGGGTACTCTAGTTTCCCTCCCCAGATGCACCAGACCATGCTGCTGAAATCATGCCATCTCTCCTTCCATGCTGCAATCACCAAAAAACTACTGAAAACACTAGGCCCCTGGCCTGCCCAAGCAAGGGGCCACTGTTGGGTGCCTTCCCTCTCATAATAAAGGCTTTCTGTGTCCCTTGCCCTTCACCAGAAACAGCAATGCTGACTAGCTCTTGCCTGCAGGAAAGGGCTTCAGCCCAGGGAAAGGTGACTGCTTCTGAAGGTGCTTGGTTCCACATCATAGACTTCATTGCCCCCTTTCTCCCCCCTCCCCCTCCCCCCTCCCTCTCTCTCTCTCTTTCTCTCTCTGTGTGTGTACACACTGCAAGCCTTGAGAAGTCTCCTTCCTACAGTCTTGAAAACTATGTCTAGGCCCAGAGCCCAACTTTGCCAAGAATGCAGCTGATTTTCTCATCTTGGCATACCTTGTTGGAGAATGGAGCATCCTCAAATGATGTTACAGTTAACAGATCCATTTGCTGAGCTATTCCTCCCAAAATAGCTTATGCATCTGAAACTGTGTAACCTTCAAGAAATATGCCCTTGAGGTGTTATCTTCTTCATCTGTGTATGAGTGAGGATCTCTTTGGGTGTGGAACTTCATCTTACATGCTCTATATGTCAGTGTCTAAAGATTCATTAGATACAGTTTTGTTGGTCTTGTAGGATCACGAGTCTAATGAGAACATATCAAACAGTACCCCCTCAGAAGTGTATCACTCCTGCTTTGTGCTGTAGAGGGGCCATTGCTCAACAGGTAGAACACATACCCTGCATACATACTGTCCCAGGTTCGGTCCCTGGCATCAAGTGTTAAAAAGTTTCAGGAGATAGGAAAGACCACTGCCTGAAACCCTGGAAACATGCTTCCAATCAAAATAAGCAACACTAAGCTAAATAGTCAGATGTGATAGAAAGCAGGTTGATGTGTGCTTAAATAGGCAAGGAAGAGCTCTCTCTATAACTGTCATCAAAGTATCTCTCATGCTTAACTTTAAACTTTACCTAATACCACATGGTCTACTGGTCAAAACATCCATATTTTACCCTACTTGGGAACTTACTCTCTGAAGCAATGAGCTGCAGACACAAGCCATGTGTTACTGATTAATGTTGCACCACAACGATGGATGTTATTCCGCCGAAGACTGGCCTGCCAAGGCCATTCTCCAGAATCAAAAGTAGCAGTTCCTCCTGTTATTCTTGATGATAGTCTCGATGATGCTCTTGATATGTTGTATCGAAGCCCACAGACTGTTTATGTAAAAAAAAAAAAAGTATGCTTTGAGTGTTGTTAAATATGAAGTACATATTGGTTATAAAATATTTCTGACAAACAAGTCAAGTTGACAAGAGCACAATCGGCCCAGCTGCTACTTGGCATCCGGGTAAATGCCTGTTCTTGGGAGCAACAGGAAGGACATTCACTGTTCTTTGGAAAGTGTTTATCCCACATAGCAGGAGACAGAGTTATATGGTTAATCAAAGCCTCCCCTGGGGTGGAGACTCCTGAACTTCAAGACTGCAACCAGAAAGAGCAAGGACACACCTATATTCATGTCCACAGTGAACAGAAATGATGCAATGTAGCTAAACAGCAGCACAAATATGAAAACATAAAACTAAATCCAGAAAATGTATGAACAGACAGACTAGTAGAAAAGGAAAGCATCCTTTTTAATCTGAGAGAGGCTGGCGCTAACAGGGAGGGAAGGTGGGTGACATGTCCTACCTGGAGGATTCCCCAGATGAAGAAAACCTGTACAGTGAGCATCATCCAGGGGTTGTCGCTGCAGAAGACTGTCCTCCACTAGAGGAACAGCCAGGTTCCTCAAGAGCAGGAGGCAGAGGGAATAGGCCCCTTAGAAGAAGGAGTGCAGTGCTTCAACAGAAGTCCAAACAGGCTGAACAGGGAATTTTCCATGAAACAGCACTCTGACTTAAGCTGGCTATAAATTAGTTTTGACAGAGCTGCTTCTTGTGGCAAACAACAAGCACTGTTATCTGGATTCTTGGACTATGTTAAAACTAACTGGTATCTAGATTTCTGCCTTGTTTACTGGACATTCTTTTGGACACTCCCACCTGATGTGAAACTTCAGACATACACACAAACCATATCATACTCTTGGACTGTCCTGATTCTTAGAAAGGTAACACAAAGATTGGCCATTTGTGGGCACAGGGCAGGACAGTAGGATAGCAGATGCAGGATATAAATGAGCAGTATTCTTCAGGGTGATTTTTAGGTGAAACATTTCAGCCCATTCTGTAAAAACCTTCCTGCCAAAGGCAACCAAGGAAGGGATATTCCTCAGTTTGTTAAAGGGTTCTGCTTTAACAAGCAAGTAACACTTGGTAGTCAGGTTTGCACACAACAACCCCCAAGGTGTGTGTGTGTATTGCATATTCATAGTTTTGCCCAGATATACTGGAGCTCACTGTGGATTAAACAACCTCCAATGAGTCATGCCATGCAAACCAGCCCACAATGTTTCATAGATACTTACTGTTACTTCACTGTTTCTATATTTTTCTGTAAAGCATATTGTGAGAAGACTTTCTGAATGAGAGACTATACATTCATAAAATAATAAGGGAGACCCTTTCAAAATGGAGTAGAGGTAGCTGCACCCTTGAAAATAATAAGGTTATGCTCTCTTTTGGGGTGATTTCCCTCTAGCAGCTCTGCAAGGCCTTAAGCAGAAGTATTCCCTTCAACAGCTATCTCAACCTTTTTGAACCAGAGACTGAACCTCAGCTTATCCTGCTGTTTAATGCCAGGTCAGTCCAAAATGAGACCTTTCTCATCCATAATTTAATTGTGGACGAAAAGGCTGACGTGTGCACTACTGAGAGCTGAGTGGGAGGATGTGGAGAGGTCAGTTTCTTCCAGTTGTACCTTCCTGGATACTTGGCGCTGCACAAAGATCAACCTGAGGTCATTAGGATTGCTGTGGTCTATAGGAATTTTTCCTATAGAGAGGAATTCTGTCCCCCTCTCTAGGCTTCCTAATCATTCAAGTCCTGACTTTGAGTATTTGTATTTTATGTTGGGTATCAGAGAAAGATCAGGGATTGTGCTAAAGTATTGTCTATCCCACTACCCATCATACTCCCTAGTTGACAGTCATGGTCTCAGATGTGGAGTTGAAAATCCCTAGAATGATGGTTCTGGGGGATCTTGACTTCCAAGCTAAGGCTGCTGAATCTGGTGTGATTCTGGATTTCACAGCTGCCATGGTCGCCATGGGGCTGGCCCAACATATAAGAACACATGATTTGGTTTTCTTGTCTGGGTGGGAGGATAGTGATCTAAAAGTGAGGGAATTAACATTTATGCTATTGTTATGGTTAGATCACTTCCTACTGAGGATTAGAATCTCAATTACCTTTCCTCTCTTTGGGGGTGGAGAACCTATTAAAATGGTCTGCCCGTAGAGGCTAATAGATTCCAATGATTTCAGAGGACTCCTGCTGGTATGGAAGTTCTGGTCACTCTGTGGATTACAGAGATGATATGGGAAATAAACATAATTTCACCCCAATGCCCTTACAATGAGCAGAGCCCAACTACCTGCTTTGTATATACTTGTGCTGAGGGCAATGAAGAAAGGAAGACAGCTAGAGTGTGGGTAGAGGAAAACTTGCACAAAATCTGACTGAACGTAGGTTAATGGGAAGCCCATTTTGTGGCAGTTGAGGATGGCAAAAAGGGAATTCTTTTTTACCACCATCTTTCCAGTGTTGTCCAGCAGAGCATTTCCATGTAGTCTGTGGCCTGCTGCCATCTAGGCAAGGATAGAATGGGTGGAATCCTCATAGTGTGCTGTGACAAGTTTGTGCAGTACTTTGAAAATTAAGTCACCCAAATCTGTTATAATTTGAACATGTTAATTAATCAGTTCTGTAAGTATAGCTGTCCAGAGCACTGTCTGGTGCAGTTTTATTGGACAAATTTCTGTTGTCAAGGCCTCAGGATATGGACAAGGTGCTTGGCCAAGTCCAGTCAGCTACCTGGGTACATGACCTTCATGGATTATTACCTTTAATAAGAGGTATCAGAATGGGCCCAGAAGGTCATAAATGCCTCCTTTAGAGAAGAAGTGGCACCAGTACCAGCATCTTTAAAGGGAATGGTAATTGGAATACTCCTAAATAAAATCTATTCTGGACCTGGGTGATGTTAATAACTAAAGACAAGCAGCTAACATTCCCTTCCTAATCAAGGTGCTTCAGCAGGTAGTTGTAAATCAATTGTAAGCACTCCTGAATGAAATAGATTATCTAGATTCACTTCAACTGGGCTTCAGGCCTGGTTTTTGAAGAGAAACTACCTCAGCTGCCCTGTTGGCTGACCTTTGCCAGGAAAGGGACAGAAGAACTGTGGCCCTGTCAATTTATTTATTAATTATATTTATATTCCACCTTTAACAACAGCCCTGTGAAGGTAGGTTGGGCTGAGAGTCTGTGAATAGCCCCAAGTCACCCTGTGAGTGCCAAAGCAAAGTAGAGACTAGGACCCAAAATTGCCTGAGCTCTAGTCTTGAGCTCTTAACCACTGCACAACACTGGTTTTTCTTGGACCTCTCAACAGCTTTTGATTGCTTTGACCATGGTATCTTTTTAGATAGGCTTTCTGGGCTGGGAGCTGGAGGCTGTGCACTGCACTGGTTCCACTCCTGCTTGAACAATGAATTCAATAAGGTGGTGCTGAGAGATTATTGCCCCTTGCTTTGGCAACACTATTATAGGCTTCCACAGGGCTCAGTTCATCCCCATGCTGCTCAACATCTACAAGAAACTACAAGAGGAGTTTATTCAGAGGTATCATCAATATGCAGATGCCACCCACCTCTATCTACTAAGAAAAACTCATTTTCTGTTGTGGCACCCTGACTATGGAATGAACTTTCCAGGGAAGCATACCTGGAACCTGCATTGTACTCTTTCAAGTATCAAGTAAAGACTTTATTTTCCCAGGACTAATTTAAATGTGGCATTGTATTTTAAATCTTTGTAATGGTATATTAGACTTTATTCTTTCACTTTTATTTTATACTGTAATCCCTACTATTTAAATTTTTATACTGATTTTATACTGAATTTTATGTTTTAAATTGTTGTTTGTATGATGCTTCAGGTACGAGGTAGTATATAAATGAAATAAATAAATAGCAACTTATTTTATTGCTAAATGTTGATATTAAAATATTAACTGGAATTTTGGCTGACAGAATATAACAAGTTATTACAATGTTAGTCTAACTGGACCAAATAGGATTCATGAAAAACAGGCAGGGGGCTGATAATCTTAAATTGATAGTGGATCTGATTGCATTTAAAAAAAGGGTAGAACAAGCACAGCTGCCATTACCTCTCTGGATGAGGAGAAGGTAACTGATAAAATTTATTGGAAATTTATAATTGCCTCATTGAGAAATTTTGGCTTTCCTCCAGAATTTTAGAAATGAACATTGTATGTGAAATTCCCGAAGCCAGAGGTAGGTTCAATGGTGTTTAGTCTGGGTTTAAAAAAAAAAAAATACTCAACAGAACTTTTGGCTTTGGCCCCTTGGCAGAGCAGCAGAGGCACAGGCTGGGAGAGAGTGCTGAGAGGCCAGGGGACTGGCGAAGGCAAGGGAGGAGCTGGGCAGGGGAGCAGAGGGCCAGGAGCAGTGGAGAGGAAGGGGGGGCGGGGCCAGAGAGGCTAGAGGGGCCAGGAGGAAGTGGACAGGCGGGGCCACCAGCCTGAGGGACTGACAAGGTGTCGTCCCTTGTCTGTGTCCCTTAACTGCAGTCCGGGCTGTCCAGGGACTCCCTTCCCTGAGACACAGAGGTTTGATTGTTTGTTTTTGTTTGTGCTGTGCTGTGCTTTGCTTTGTTTTTCTTCCAATTTAAGTTTATTTCATCCTTGTGTGTGTGTGCGAGTGGGTTTTTGTCTGGGAGAACTGGGCGAGTGAGAGGAACTGCAGGACAAACAAGGCAGGGGACCAAGGTAAGGTCTCGGAAGGGATCCCAATGGCAGACCAGGAGATGGCCTTGGTGGGAGTCACAGGTGTTGCTGTCCGCTGCGAGAGCTGCAACATGTTCACCCTTCTCCCCCAGGAGAGGCAGGGATACACTTGCCCTCGGTGCAAGATGGTGACCCTGCTAGAAGAGGAGGCGAGGTGCCTGAGGGCCGAGAGAGCTCTCCAGGCCCCCCCGGAGCAGCCCTCCTCTGGACAGAGGGTTGAGGGAGAGACCACGGGAGGAGCAGCCGCAGAGACATGGAGGTATGCCACCCACAGGAGGAGGAGGCCAGCATGGCCTCCTCCTTCTCCTGGCACCAATCTGGAGCTGGGAAACAGGTTCTCTCCACTTGGGGATGCTGGGGCTGATGAGGCCTCGGGGAACCAGCAGGACCCCCAGCCTGGTTCAGGCCCCCCAGTAATATGTCTGCACTGGGCAAGTGTGGGGAGAGGATCAGGGCTCTGGGAGCAGGGTTTTAGAGATACTGCAAGGACTGACAGGACTCGTACAGAGAGGGACCAGGTATCAGGGAGGATGGGAGGAAGGAGGAGGCTGGGAACTCCAAGAAAAGGAAGCGGGGGGAAGGAGTTGAGGTGCATGTGCGCCAATGCTAGGAGTATGGGTAATAAGCAAGAAGAGCTTGAAGCTCTCCTGGGAATAGGGGGGTATGATCTGGTGGGAATCACAGAAACTTGGTGGGATGAAAGGCAAGTCTGGAATGTGAACATAGAAGGGTATCACCTTTTTAGAAAGAACAGGAAGGGAAAGAGGGGTGGGGGCGTGGATTTATACGTCAGGGAAGGGATAGGATGCAGTGAGATAGAATGCAGCACAGATGGGGATTCGGTAGAGGCAGTGTGGGTGAAACTTAGGAGTTTTGACAGGGAAAGAAACCTGACAGTGGGGGTATGTTATCGCCCTCCAGGTCAACTTGAGACCCTGGATGATGTCCTGACAGACCAGATTCTAAGGATATCTCAGGGGAGAGACACAGTAATTATGGGAGATT